TGTCATTTTATTCACCAAAAATGCTTCAAGTGCTGAAGATAGTCATTTCAACATCCTAATACGAACTCAAGTCAAAAATTTTTTATTGGAAAATTTGGGTAAATGTAAAGGTTTTGATAAAAATGGAAATTATAACCCGGAAGCTGATACAAATCTTCTGCATGTTTTCAAAGGACTTTCACTTTACAGTGAACATTATCGTTTTGGAGGGATTCTTGATTTTTGCCGCCAAATAGGATTTGTTAGTAATTTTTATTTAAATAGGGTAGTATTATTCTCTTTTGAAAACTCACTACTTTCTTTTATAAAATTAATCCAGATTTTTAATTATACAATTTTTCCATTTAAGGACATATTAGAAGTTTTTTTTAAATTTTCTTAGAAATTTTTTGAATAATATACACTATAATAATCATAGGGTACAAAACAATTTGTTCCACGAAAGTTTGAATATAATGGTAACCGAGAACTTTTAATGGTTGTTAAAGAATATATTCAATGTGTGGAATTTATATATGATGATGTATTAAAAGTGCCAGAATATGGAGATGCTCCATTTGGTAATGCTCCAATTATTAAGGACCAACACGGGTCGGGTTCGCGCGTAGGATTTTGCGAGATACCGGCCCGCAATCCCGCACTTTTTTTAGGATTTTACGGGATTATTCCCGAGGGAGTTACTCCCGCAAACTTTTCTAAAAGTTACCCTCGCATGCGAGATCCCGAGTAAATTTATAGACCCGGACAGGCATCGATCCTACGACCTACTGGAAATTGTTATAGTTGTGTCTCATATGTATCTTGCATAACATGTAATGGGTAAACCTAGTCAAATTTCCTACTCTTGGACCTACTCAAATTTCTTACCAACAAAAGTTTAGATCAACTAAAACAGAGCAAATCAACTAAACGTTTCCGTCAATTTATGAGAGCATTTCTTCTCACGAAACCAGTATTTCTCGCGGTTGAATTTAATAGACTTATTAATCTCGACACTGGAAAGGATAATCCTCTTTGGATTTCTGATATGAAATTTGATATATACATGGAAGTGATTTCAACCTTGTCAATTGAGGTTAATTAAAGTTTGTGTATAAAGTGGGGCCTTTTTATAAGAAAAGTTTATCATATGTATAATGTAATTATATTAAAGCTTAGTCAACATCCCCCACCCCTCCATTATTTACCAAAATTTAAAAGATTGTCAAGAATTTGAGTTAATATTACTCAATACTTTTAAGAGTTTTTGAAAAACTCGGATGTGTTCGGGGATAAAATGTGTATCAAGTATAAAATTTAATGAATCTGAATGATTCAATTTAAATTTAACAAAATTAATATGTAAATTAACTTCAAGGAATTGCGTCTTATTCGACAAATAATTTTTGTTATTAGTGGAATAGAGCTTGATATTAATCAATTAATGAATGTTTCCCTTTCTGGAGACTTCAATATGTATGATGTTTACCATTTTGCACTTGAACGCTTTTACTTTGGAACAGAAAAAGTGTCAGAGACGATTGACCATGAGGTAAACTCATATTTTCTCTTCAATATATGTAGGTACACTAAAATACGGCGCAGCAACTCAGAAATGTGGCAGGGCATTATTTGCAAAACTTGAAGATAATTAAAATTTCAAATAAAAAGCTTTATAAATTGCTTTACTTAAGTTCTTCACAAGTTAATTGTGCAAATAAGTTTAATTGAGCTAAATTGAGCAAATGAGGATAAAAGTTTTTTTTCTAAATAAAAATATCTTTCGAAAATTGTAAATTGAAAAAAATTTCGAAAATATCAAAATTGAATAACCTCGAAAATCGGAACCGAGAGTCGAATCGAAAAGTTCGGATGCACAAATTCGGAACTGAAAAGCGCAAAATTTTTGCTTGATCCTGTTACTATGCATTGAGTACCTAAAAATTGAGCTAGAGATTGAGCGAAGCACAGAACCGGGCGAACCCGAGTATTAGAGCTGACTCGACAAATTTTAGATTTGATGTTATAAGCAGTTTCGTTGTGATTTTTAGAAGGAAATGAAAACTACCAATTGTTATGGGATGATTGTGTTTGATTTAGGCTAACATAGAAATAAATACATAAGCTTTAAATAACATTCAAATAAAATTCAGGAAGATCCCAGCATATTTCTTCAACCATTTATAAAATTTCAAAACAGAGAAGAATTGATAACTCAATGCGATAACATTGAAAATATACCAACAATGGCACTCTACCTGACAATGGCTAGGCGCAAATCCATTGCTATGCATTACATGTTTTTCAAAGCTGGTTGTAGGTAAAATTTTGGATTTTTATATGCCTTACTTCGATTTTTATCTGATATGTAAAGGAGTATGCCTATAATCCTTAACAACATTTGTCCTTAAAGAAAAAGAGTTGAAATGCCTATTTTTCTATTTTTTTCTACTAATAGGTTTTCGCATACATTGACATGAGCTTTAACGTTCTGGGAAACTGAGTTTGCTCCTACTCCTAACCAGTACCACATACCCATTTTTATCTCGTACTTGTAACAAACGTACGAGTACTACTACAGATTTGCACAACCGTTCCAACAGTACATTGCAGATAATTTATCTATTTAGTGCAATTACTCTCGATAATTTATACAACAATGAGCAAGCAGACGACTGGATAATAAAAGAAGAAATGGCCTCTTACAACCTCATACTAGCTACAATGCTTTCATTTCATGTTACTAAAATTGAAACTCGTTTTCATTATACTATTAATAATACAAAACAAACTTTAACTAGAACAATCAGCTCAAATAATATTGGCCGATTTCTCAGAACTATTTTAGGACGAAGCTTTGAAACTGGTAATTAACAGCAAATTTTATTTAATAAATATTTTATTACATATACTAAAATGTAACTTAAAGGAAATTCAATTTCGAGATTAGCAAGTTTAGTCACTGCACAGGAATTGAACTGTGCCTGATTTGCAGATGCTCTTTAGACTGGAAACTTTTTTCTCTCTGATAGATCAACATTTGTATTTAATAAATTGAGCTCGTTCAGATAATATTCCCTTCCTCCTAGAGAACAATAACTACCCACTTCAAACCCCCCTTAGTTACTCCTTCCAGTTAACGATTTAAATAATAATTGTCATATTTTGAGTTAAAATTTACTCGATTTACCGTTAGAAGAAATTTACCGTAAGAAAAAATTATTTAAAAAAATCTCAAGTTAGAAGAAATCTTTCATTATCCATAATAAACTCGAAATTTTCAGAAACTAACGCATATTTCACCGATTATGATCAAATTGACTATCGATGTCTTCCCCAATATAAAGGAGGTTCATTCGATTCAAATGCATTTTTTACAAAATTTTATGAATGGGTGGATAATATGTGCAAAAATAGATCAGCAAAACGAGGGTATGTTTAACAGCATATTTTTGGTCATCGTACATTAGGGTTATCAGAAGGGTGTTAATTTAAGAGGGAAGAAATGGAAAAACGATCTCACTTTAATACAGGACTCCGAAATGTGCGGATTTTCCCCTATTTTATGGTTTTTTATAAGTAGATGCGGATTATAAAAATGCGGATTTTTGTGGTCTTTTGAAGATTATGAGGGTTTTTTATTTTCTTATAGTTTTTAAAATAAAATTGCGGATTTTTAAAAATTCGAGATAAGAACCCTGCTTTAATATGTTGTCGATGCTCTTTAAGCATTATTATCAGCCCATTTCGAGATGGCGATTTATTACCCATTAGCTAGGGTTAAATATTGTTATAGTTTAAATCCTATTTTAAATTCAGACTTCGCAGCAATTGGCATGATGGATTGAAGGAAAATTTTAAAACTATGATTGATATAAGCTCAAATAGCGTGGACATAAAATATTTCCTTGCTAGCCTTTTTAACTATGCAAATATTCATGGGGAAGAATTTATGAATAATCTTTCAAGTTTCATTGAACAACTTAAAGGTTATAGTCAGAAGAACTATTTTGATGCAACTGATAAACAACGTGAATTTGCGAAGGAGAATGTGTTTACTGAATTTTTGGGCAATATAAATTCTAGATTCTTTCACGGCTTACGTGTTAATAATAATTTAGAAATTATAACGGATTCGGAACTTAATCCAGTAACAGATTCGGTGGAAAAACTGGAATATTTTTATTCGTCAATCAGTGATAGTTCTATATCAGATAGCGCTATTTTTGAACAAAACAGGTTACGAATAATAATTTAAAATTAAAGTAAAAAATAATAATTAAGCAAATCAAAGCCTGAAGCCAGGGAAGCTGAATTGGGTAGATTGGCAATGGTTAATTACACGATTCACGGACTGGCACATTTATTACATGTCGTTTGGCCTATTTCCAAACATTTAATTATTACGAAGCAATGTAGAGGCTTTGATTTTACTAGTTTTGATGAAGAGATGGAGATTGATAATGAAGATATTAATGCTGGAATGGAAGGAATTATTAATAGCGAATCATGGCTCGAAAAATTGATGAGAAGGGGTAATTTATTTTTATAATTCAATTAATTCCGTATTGCCATATTTTCAAAAAAAACTAAAACAATGTAAGGGAAGGGGAGATCCTTCATCTGATATAAATAAATGAATAGTAGAATATTTTTAAAGCAAGAACTACTGCTATAAAAAGAAAAAGAGATATCAGAAAATACTTCAAAAACAAAAGCGGTAAAGGTAAGGGGAAGGAAAAAGAGTCAAGTTTCAATACGGATATTTGGATCTGGTATTATTTAGCTCGAAAAATGGATGAATTTGATTATAACTTGGCTGAAATTATGCCTGAACAACAAGCTGGTAATTTTTAAAATATTACCTAAGTTAGTGTGATGACTTTAGTTAGGATACGATCTTTGGAGAGTGTCACTCAAATAGATAAAACCTTCTATTGAAGGGAATACTGCAAATTTCAGACCAAAATTTAAAAAAATATTTTGTAAATAGAAACATACACATGTGTACAAAATTGACATATTTCTTTGAAATTTTTAGCTGCAACCCCCGGCATGACTTCGCCTTATGGAACAACTCCTGGACAATCGCCTCTCCCTCCCGATATAGCTGGTATGTTGTTTAATTATGTTTAAAGAGGAATGTTGAATTCCTGTTAACAAAGTTATTCAGAACTCAATTTTAGTAATGTTTATCTTTAATAGTTTTAAGCTATTTTTTTCTCATTCTTTTGACATGGAATTTTAAAAATTGAGGCTATTTATATTGTGTTATCTTACAGTGAGGTTCGACTGTAAATATACATATTTTTATAAATAAGGTGCATCAACATCTTATAGCCAACCGCCTGCAATAACACCTCATGGTGAAATCCCAGGAATGACCCTTCAGCATACTCCAATGGGAGAAATACAATCTGATAGCGGTAATGATTATTGTTACATTAATATTTAAAAATTTTAAAAATGCATTGAGCTTACAGTTCTGAAAATATAAGATATTTAAAAATACAGTAGGTTTGAGCTTCTCTCAACGTAATATCCCAGGAGAAAGGTTATAACCTAAAAATCCTATCCTTGTTTATTACAAAGGTCCAATTGCATTGAGATTAGATCTGACTCGAAAACGGCAATGCAATGATCTAAATTTCTGGAAGTTGAACTTCTCTAAAATTACATCCGTTTACATATAACCACCCTTCATATGTCTTCTCAATGCGTAATGAAGGGAAATATTTTAGAGTCATTTTCTCCCACCTTATATGTCACCACAACTTCGGCTACACGATGCGTTGTAGGAGTTAAACTGCATCAAGTTTGACTTTAAATAAGTTTGATTTTAATAACTCTATGTTGGTAGTAACATAGGGTTTAAACAACAGCTGCTATTTTTTAAAGTTTATTTTATTATTATTATTGTTTGTTTTAGATACTTATAGTTAAAATTTTCTCAAAATTAATAAATTTAACAGACGATGAACCAAAACAACCTAGATGCTTCGGATGTTTCTCTTCAAAGAGCAAGCGAAGACATGGACATCGCAGTAAACGGGCAACCGAGAAAATATTTTTGGGAACAAATAACCGTCAAAAACGCATGGTTGGGACAAGTAGTGCACCTTCAAGTCAAATGAGATTGAATGCTCAATTTTGTGGAATTTGGTTGGCCCCAATGTGGTTCGGAATCAATTTTATGATGTTCATTCTTGGTTGGATGTTATTGGCTATGCAATATTATCCATTGCTTATCTGAAGAATGAGTTGATAGTGATGGACTTTTTTTTTAATATTTGTTTTCGGGTCATATTTTATTCGGATGTAGTTTAGTGGGTTGATTTTATTGGGTATTTTATGTCATTCGATTCCTCTCCTCGAGCTGAGCAACGCTCTCTAGGTAAGGAAATGCCTGTGGACTCGTCGAGTTGAGTAACGCTCTATAGGTTAGGAAATGCCTGTGGAACGAGTTTTGTCCTTAATATTGAAAACTATTTGGTGACCAAGCTCATTTTGGGGTAAAAATTCAACTAATCGCTCATTAGAAAACCTCAAAGAGTCGAATGACACCAAAATCAACGTTATTGAACAGCAAAGTTACGATAGAAAAATTAAGCAATCCTATTGGATTCGGTAAGATTTCGTTAACAGAAAGTTAGCATTCCTCTTTAAATATTTTTTAAACTCTGTCAAATTAGTATAGCAAAATGATCAGAAATTGTTGAACCTGAATCATTTTTAACTGACGATAAAGCTATTATTTAATCATTGTAGTATATTAATCATTAACGGTTTCCATCATTAGATTTTTATGCATAACATTTCGCTAAAGGAAAAATTATTAACGTTAAATCTATAAGGAATTCGGATGTCTGTATATGTATATTACGAATCATAACCTTCAAAATTTTAAATCAAATTTTCCCGAAGTAAGGAGGACATACAGATGCCCAAATGAGTTGAGAATATCTTCAGTGCTGAACACTGAAACTAGGGTTAAAGAAAGTTTTCTCGGTTCTAGGACTGAGTTATAGATTATTCCCCAGATTTTCCAGGACAAATACTTAGAACAGAAGCTCTGAGTTTGATTTTTGGAATTCACTATAAACAGACATAAGAAACTAATGTTACTAATATGTATTATATGCATTAACTGCATTAAAAAATTGTCAAAAATCGCTTTAAGGATCAGTATTTTAAGCAAAAAACACTAATTTAGCCTTTAATTTTGCATTTCAAGAGCATTTATAAAGATTTTATGGATTTAAAATTAATATTAATTTTTTTGAAAAATAAATTTTCCCGAAAGACTTTCGAAAAATTTTTTCGATAGATTTTTATAAAAAAATTTTTTGGCCAAAAATTTCCAAAATCTTGAAAATTTTGCCAAATTTCTATAAAATTTGGCAAAAAATGACGAAATATGGAACAAAATATGTAAAATTTCCTAAAATATGCACAAAATGCAAATATGCATGAGAAGGCCGAAATATGCAAATATATGCATTAAGAACCGGGTCCTACCTAAAGTGCTGCGACCAACGTAAAAACATCATTTTTGGGCTTCTTACTTCAATGCATATCCGCATACAAAACATGCATTTGCATGTTTTGTGAGTCCCTAATTATGGTAACTAATATATGTATATCCATACAAATTACCAGATATTTCACTTAATCTCACGAAACTCTTCGAAAAAATCTCTCAAATCCCTTTGTATAGCACTTAATAACATTTAATCCAATCCGCCTGTTAAATATTGACTTGCGGTGTGTCTTATGCTAACAGAAAATTTGTCCTATGCTAAAAATTTGTCCTATGCTAACAGAAAAATTACATAATATATTTTTTTTGATATAAAATGCGTATTTTTTAAGAACAAAATTGCAGATTTTTAAAAATTTCGAGATACGAATACCCTGCTTTAATATGTTGTCGATGCCCTTTAAGCATTATTATCAGCCCATTTCGGAATGGCGGGTTATTACCCATTAGCTAGAGGTTAAATATTGTTATAGTTTAAAATCTTACTTAAAATTCAGACTTCGCAGCAATTGGCATGATGGATTGAAGGAAAATTTTAAAACTATGATTGATATAAGCTCAAATAGCGTGGACATAAAACATTTCCTTGCTAGCCTTTTTAACTATGCAAATATTCATGGAGAAGAATTTATGAATAATCTTTCAAGTTTCATTGAACAACTTAAAAATTATAGTCAAAGGAACTATTTTGATGCAACTGATAAACAACGTGAATTTGCAAAGGAGAATGTGTTTACTGAATTCTTGGGCAATATAAATTCTAGATTCTTTCACGGCCTACGTGTTACTAATAATTTAGAAATTATAACGGATTCGGAGCTTAATCCAATAACAGATTCGGTGGAAAAACTGGAATATTTTTATTCGTCGATAAGTGATAGTTCGATATCTGATAGCGCTATTTTCAATCAAAACAGGTAAGTAGATAATGATTGTTTTACAGTATTACCTCTAATTAAATATTACCTTAAATATTACCTATTATTATTACCTCTACCTCTAATCTCCCTCTCCATTTGATGAAATGTTAAATATAAAGATATTCACATCAACGCTATTTCTATTCATCTTTCTTATCCTTCATTTCTTGAGTATAATGGTAACCAAAGTGCGATAAATGACAAATCCGAGATCTCGCAACGGTTCCTTCAATATATTCCCCATATTCCCATAATCGCTCGTCTTCAATCATCAATCTATGTTTATTATTCTAGCAAAATATATCCAAAACTCGCCCGATTTTTTTTGTTAAGAGGATAAATAATAAACATCGAAATCCTTTTACTCATTGGTATCCCCTAACTCCTTCCTTTTAATATTTTGTATGTACCCTTACTAATTAGCTAACCAAATTAAGCATACTAAATTGAGAGTGTGATCTGTCTAAAGATCCAGGTGGCTAAGATACACAAAGGTATTCGGTTTAACTTTTATTTAATTCTTACAAATAATAATTTAAAATAAAAGTAAAAAATAATAATTAAGCAAATCAAAGCCTGAAGCCAGGGAAGCTGAATTGGGTAGATTGGCAATGGTTAATTACACGATTCACGGACTGGCACATTTATTGCATGTCGTATGGCCTATTTCCAAACATTTAATTATTATGAAGCAATGTAGAGGCTTTGATTTCACTAGTTTTGATGAAGAGATGGAGATTGATAATGAAGATATTAATGCTGGAATGGAAGGAATTATTAATAGCGAATCATGGCTCGAAAAATTGATGAGAAGGGGTAATTTATTTTTATAATTCAATTAATTCCATATCCCCATATTTTCAAAAAAAACTAAAACAGTGTAAGGGAAGGGGGATTCTCCATCTGATATAAATAAATGAATGTAGAATATTTTTAAAGCAAGAACTACTGCTATTAAAAGAAAAGGAGATATCAGAAAATACTTCAAAACCAGAGGCGGTAAAGGAAAAGGGAAAGAAAAGGAGTCAAGTTTCAATACGGATATTTGGATCTGGTTTTATTTAGCTCGAAAAATAGATGAATTTGATTATAACTTGGCTGAAATTATGCCTGAACAACAAGCTGGTAAGTTACCTATGTTAGTGAGATGACTTCAGTTAGAATAGAGACGATGTTAAAAACTGCGTTGTCGATATCGAGATTCTTCGTAATATCTTTCTTGAAATTAAACCGTTATTCTCAATTTTCTTCCAAAGTGTCGGTCGATCTTTGGAGAGTGTCACTCAAATAGATAAAACCAATTGAAGGGATACAGAAAATTTCAGACCAAAATTTAAAAAATATTTTGTGAATAGAAACCAGAATTATAGCATATACTTGTGTACAAAATTGACATATTTCTTTAAAATTTTTAGCTGTAACCCCCGGCATGACTTCGCCTTATGGAACAACTCCTGGACAATCGCCTCTCCCTCCCGATGTAGCTGGTATGTTGTTTAATTGTGTTTAAAAGAGAATGTTGAATTTCCGTTAAAGTTTATATTCAGACCTCAATTTTAGTAATTTGTATCTTTAAGTTTTAAGCTATTTTTCTCACTCTATTCATACGGAATTTTAAGAATTAAGGTTATCTATTATTGTGTTATTTTATAGTAAGGTTTGACTGTAAATATATTTTTATAAATAAGGTGCATCAACATCTTATAGCCAACCGTCTGAAATAACTCATGGCGAAATCCCAGGAATGACTCTTCCGCATACTCCAATGGGAGAAATACAATCTGATAGCGGTAATGATTATTGTTACATTAAATTTAAAAAATTTAAAATGCATTGAGCTTATAGCTCTGAAAATATTAGATATTTAAAAATACAATAAGTAGGGTTGAGCTTCTCACAATGTAACTATCCCAGGAAAAAAGGTTATATCTTAAAAATCCTATCCTTGTTCATTACAAAGGTTCAATTGCATTGAGATTAGATCTGACTCGAAAACGGCAATCACAATGATATCTAAATTTCTACATAGTTGAACTTCTCTAAAATGGCATCCGTTCACACCACCCTTCATATGTCTTCTCAATGCGGAATGAATAAAAGTATTTTAGAGTCATTTTCTCCCACCCCAAATGTCACCACAACTCGGGCGATGTGTTATAGGAGTTAAACTGCATCAAGTTTGACTATAAATAAGTTTGATTTTAATAACTTTATGTTGGTAGTAACTTAATAGTATTTTTTAGCTTATTTTGTTTATTATTATTGGTTGTGTTAGATACTTATAGTTAAAATTTTCTCAAAATTAATAAATTTAACAGACGATGAACCAAAACAACCTAGATGCTTCGGATGTTTCTCCACAAAGAGTAAGCGAAGACATGGACATCGCAATAAACGGTCAATCGAGAAAATATTTTTGGGAACAAATAACCGTCAAAAACGCATGGTTGGAACAAGTAGTGCACCTTCAAGTCAAATGCGATTGAATGCTCAATTTTGCGGAATTTGGTTGGCCCCAATGTGGTTCGGAATCAATTTTATGATGTTCATTCTTGGTTGGATGTTATTGGCTATGCAATATTATCCATTGCTTGTCTGAAGAATGGGTTGATAGTGATGAACTTTTTTTTTAAAATTTTTATTTTCGGGTCATATTTTATTCGGATGTAGTTTAGTGGGTTGATTTTATGGGGGCGATTTTATGTCATTCGATTGGGGGCGATTTTATGTCATTCGATTCCTCTCCTCGAGCTGAGTTAAATCGAGCTGAGCTGAGTAAAAAATCTAGGTAAGGAAATGCCTGTGGAACGAGTTTTGCCCCTAAAATTGAAAATTATATGACGACCAAGCTCATTTTGGGGTAAAAATTCAACTAATCGCTCATTAGAAAACCTCAAAGAATCGAATGACACAAAAATCAACGTTATTGAACAGCAAAGTTACGATAAAAAAAGCAATCCTATTGGATTCGGTAAGATTTCGTTAACAGAAATTTAGCATTCCTTTTTAAATATTTTTTTAACTCTGTCAAATTAGTATAGCAAAATGATCAGAAATTGTTGAACTTCTATCATTTTTAACTGACGATAAAGCTATTATTTAATCATTGTAGTACATTAATTATTATCGGTTTCCATATTAGATTTTTATAAATAACATTTCGCTAAAGGAAAAATTATTAACGTTAAATTTATAAAGAATTTGGATGTCGACATATGTACTACTCTAGTATATACTACGAATCATAACCTTCAAAATTTTAAATCAAATTTTCCCAAAGTAAGGAGGACATACAGATGCCCAGATGAGAAGAGAATATCTTCATCCTGAACACTGAAACTAGGGTTAAAGAAAGTTTTCTCGGTTCTAGGACTGAGCAATAGATTATTCCCCAGATTTTCCAGGACAAATACTTAGAACAGAAACTGAGTTAGATTTTTGGAATTCACTTAAACAGACATAAGAAACTAATGTTACTAATATGCACTATATGCACTAAATATGCATTAAAAAATTGTGAAAAATTGTTTAATGATCAGTATTTTAAGCAAAAAACACTAATTTAGCCTTTAATTTTTCATTTCAAGAGCATTTATAAAGATTTTATGGATTTAAAATTAATATTAATTTTTTTTTGAAAAATAAATTTTCCCGAAAAGACTTTCGAAAAAATTTTTTCGAAAGATTTATAAAAAATTATTTGGCCAAAAATTTCCAAAATCTTGAAAATTTTGCCAAATTTCTATAAAATTTGCCAAAAAATGACGAAATATGGAACAAAATATGCAAAATTTCCTAAAATATGCACAAAAATGCAAATATGCATGAGAAGGCCGAAATATGCATTAAGAACCGGGTCCTACCTAAAGTGCTGCGACCAACGTAAAAACACCATTTTTGGGCTTCTTACTTCAATGCATATCCGCATACAAAACATGCATTTGCATGTTTTGTGAGTCCCTAATTATGGTAACTAATATATGTATATCCATACAAATTACCAGATATTTCACTTAATCTCACGAAACTCTTCGAAAAAATCTATCAAATCCCTCTGTATAGCACTTAATAACATTTAATCCAATCCACCTGTTAGATATTGACTTGCAGTGTGTCCTATGCTAACAGAAAATTTGAAAATATTTATTTTTCATCAAAAAATGTTTTAATCGTATTTAAAATGATATGCACCTCAAGACAAATATGAGACAGGACTAACTCCATGACGATCATGAAGTAAGTCTTGTAAATTATGAATAAATATTTATTTTTCATCAAAAAATGTTTTAATCGTATTTAAAATGATCCAATCCGCCTGTTAAATATTGACTTGCGGTGTGTCTTATGCTAACAGAAAATTTGTCCTATGCTAAAAATTTGTCCTATGCTAACAGAAAAATATATTATATAAAAAAAAGAGGGGGGTTCATTTTTAGCCGTTTTGCCCACCGCCTCGTACAGAAGTCGTAGAGCCTCGGGGGTGGTACCATTCGATAGCGGAGGTATGGGTTACTCTTGCAAAAAAATATAAAAAGTCGGAAATTCCGCCGTTAAGAGGTCGAAATTCGACTTCGAAACTTGGAAAATTCTTAAAGAATCAAGATTGCCCGGAAGGCATTATCGGATCGGGATGGGGTCTTTTTTATAAGATTTCTGAGTGTCTGTAGTTATTGGGAAAAATCGGAAAAAAAATAATTTCGGGTCGGAAGGGGTCGAAATTGAAGTCGAACGAGTCGAAAAATGCCGATTTCGACTTTCCGTAGGTCAGATCGCTTTGGGCTTGCTGGAGGGTACCTCCGCTCGGAATTACCTATCCAAAACCGTAGAGATCTCGAAAATCGGACGATTTCGAGTCGAGTTATGTTGAGCGTAACCCAAGTTAAATGGTGTCATTTTGTCGCCCCATAGGGTGTTGGTCAAATGTGGTATTTCGATATTTTGGGATATTACGGGAACGGCTTGAGCGATCTGGCTGAAACTTTAGGGGAATAGGTAATGGTCTACGGGGAATTTAATGAAAATATTTTCGAAAGGGTCACTAGAGTCTGGGGGTTTCAAATTGAGTCTGGGACTATGGTAATGATTTTGAAGGGTTGTGGATGCCATAGAATGGTGTTATGGAGGGCTTAAAATCATTTTCCAACAAAAGTACACTTGAGTCTCAAGTGTGAAAGTTTTCAGTCTGGGACTGAAAATTTCAAAAATGGTCAAAATGTGTCGAATGATATATCAATCGACGTGGAATCGAATGAAAAGTATAAATAAAATATTTTTGAAGGGGTCACTTGAGTCTGAGAAAAAATTTTTGGGAAAATTTTATTGTAGGGCTTGGGGTACCGCGGAGCGGGCATGTGAGCGTTTGCAAAGCATACTTATTAACTTTTTATAGTACGACACTTGAGTCTGAAAATTAAAAATTTACGAAATATATTTTTTTGACCGCGCGTAGCGCCTAGAGACAGCCCCGGAACGCAAAAGCACCGTAACTAAACCCGCCATGGGCGCGCAGCGCCCATTCGGCCGCGGAGCGGACGAAGTTTGGGCCGAAGGCCCTAACGGGCAAGGCTTAGGTTCCAACGCCCATAGGGGCATCTATCAACAGCCAAGGCTTATCCATTATAGATAAAGCATAGGTACGAAATATAGAGCATAGAATCATACTACATAACTAGCCCGCAAAGCGGTCTAGTTATGTAGTATGTTATGAATAAAAAACATTAGCAATAATTATATTTAAAAATTCTTCTAGTTAATTATTTGATTCTGTTTCTAAGGCAAATATTAACAAAAGCTTCTGGCATTGCATTTTGAAAGCGATCACGCTCGTATACATTAGCCAAATAATTAAGGAAAAGGCTATTCTGGTATCCATAGTAGAGGCAAATTTCAGCTAAATGAACACATTCAGCATATCTTCTAGCACCTGGAATTTCTCCATGTCGATTCTGAAAGTAAAAAATTGGTGAAAAGTTGGAGCTGAATTTTTGATAAACAAATTCCCGAAAAATAGGACACAGAAATGGTAAACCTTTAAAAGTTCAATGGTTTCCAGTTTTTGGTTTAATGACCTATGGTGTTTCAGTTCTAAGAGGAACCAAGTACTCAACCAAGAACTGCTTTATAATTCACACACCTGTAACATTTTCATTAATATTTTCGAATATTTCTCAGACTCATTCAACAACAATTCCCTTCCTTGTTTGCTCAGTCCATCAGTAAATGAATGACAAAAAATTATAGCGCGGAGGAGAACATATTCCTCTTCAGTAAGCTGTACTCGATTGAATGGTTCCATACTATCAGTAAATACTTTTTTGGAAAGTTTGGATATTCTATAAAAATTAATTATAGTAGAGGAGAGGTTATTAAGGAAATTATACGTTTCATCTCCTTTATAATATTCGCCACTGAAACCGAAAGCCATTGAAAGCCCACTTGGCAGAATTACTGTATTATATTTCTTGGTGTAAGAATAATAAGCTGATAATAAAATTGAGAGCGGCAAAGTTATTTGAGTTATAAGGCAAATCTTAAAATTTTAGATATGTAAACACATAAATATTTTTTCTTCAGTTAGCCCTCTGCTTAATTTACTCCCCACAACTTTTATAGAGGGATAATAGCCAAGTACTGTTATGTATATAATCAAGAATTTATTAAATTTAATATATTAAATATCCGTCAGTTCATTCTCATTCATATTCCTTATCTTAAACTAGACTTAGAGGCAAAGCTGTATTATTTTTTACTATCTAATAAAATTTACTTTATCAGATAAATCTAAATTGTCAAAGAAAGGCATTGTTTTTCCAATATCCATAATTAAGAGAAAATCCAATATTAACGCCAAAGGTCTAGTCTTAAAAAACCCATTTTTATTAATAAATTCAATAGTTTTTAATGAAAGAATTTGTTGCTGTTGATGCTTTAAATTTAAATATTTTTTTTTAATTTTAACTATTTTAATAACCAAATATTCGTTGCTATTAGCGATAAGATTTTGTTTTTGATTAATTAATGTTTCGATAGAATTATAGGGATTATTATGATGCCAAACAGGTGCCCTTGTAATTGAATTTCTAACTCGTTGTGCATTTCTCTCGACTGAGATAAGAAAGTCAATTATTAAATTGTCTTTGGTGATTAAAAATGATCCAGGCTAAAATAAATAAATATTTTTTAATAGTTTAAACGCGAATAGTTTTTAAATTTTAAACGCGAGTTAGGGCAATCCACTCAATCACCAAAATACCTTAAATGGCAATTAATCCGGGTTAATCTTCTGTGGTTTTTTGATAGGTTGATGAGGATTATTTTTAAAAATCCGTATTTGCGGATTTTTGTGGTCTTTTGAGGATAACAGGATTTTTTTATATTTTCTTGTAGAATTTAGAATAAATTGCCATTTTTCCCTATTAAGGTTTTCCAAACTCCTCAAAATTTCAGAAATCTGGCTACATGGCCTCCAAAATCTGCAAAATTTTTGCCCGGGGATCAAAAAGGAAGACTGTTATCGTACGCAATTCATTACAAGTAGAGACGGTGAAAGTATATATTATCCCAAGCTCATTGAATTGTTTGGATTTTCAAAAGATGATCATTAGTAATAAAAAATTGCTAAATTCAATTGTTGGAGTCAAAAAATAAAATGATTAAGGTGATTTTAATTCAATTTTTGTGTTTGATATTTTTTGCGGATTTTTGATATAAAATGCGGATTTTTTAGCTCAAAATTGCAGATTTTTAAAAATTTGAGATACAAGCCCTGTTATAAATATGTAGATGGGGAATGTCTGGAGGCTATTTATTTCCAATGGTTCGGAATTAATATTCCCATAAAAATACCTTAATATCCGTTTCGTTTTCGAAATATTTTCCTCTATCTTTAAGTTCATTTCGTTTATGTTTAATTAGTTCATTTATTTCAGTTAGAGTTTTAGCATAAAATCCTCTTGTTGTTTGGATTGACATTCCAACAAGAATACATTTATCGAAGCGGCAACTTTTGCATTTTATTCCGACTAAAATGTTTATTTTTTAATCAGTACTGGGTATTATTGGGCATTTGTTGGCTCCGGCCTTTTGAGAACCCTGGCTCCACCTCCTAAGGATATTGAGTGATATCAGGGGTCAAGAAGAAAGCATTTAATATTAATTAAATGCCTTCTATTAATTAATTAACCTATCTATCCGAAAACGGCATCTCTATTATCTTGGCATCTTGGGATGAAAAAAAGAAAATGCGGACGCTTTTTATTGTTGTTAGCCCTAATTCTTAAATTTCAATTTTGTTAAAGTTTTACCATCCACAACATTGCAATTCCCCCCATTTTTACATTTGTATAATTCTTTTGCGTTACAGCAACGTCGGAAAAAGTGTTTACAACCTGTATTTAATTAATAAATTTAATAAAATAAATAATAAAATTCTGTTCGGATTACAATAAATCCTTCAGAGTAAATAAATCAAAAATTAATTATTTACTACATAAATACTAACCATCACAACAAACAACATTATAATAAACATATCCACTACAAATATATCCACAAACACAACATTTTGTTGGGAAGGGAGAACTTTTAGTATTTTTTGATTGAAGTGAATTGTTAACATAATTATTGTTGTTGTTTTCTTCCTCATTAAATTTTACAAAATTCATTGGATTATTTTTTACTATATAATAATCATTAGAAGAATTAGAAAACATTTCTCTAAAAAGGGGTTTTAAATGTTTAAAAATTATTTTTTTTATTTAAATTAGAATAATAAATATATTTACTAATTTAATTTAAGATATATTTAATTATTTTAAATAATTATATGTACAATTCTGATATTTTAAAATCATAACAAAACCAAATATATTAATTGTTTTATTTGATCAACTATTTGTCACACAAGGAAAATAGTCGAATACTTGACTACCTTATTTATTCTAATATAACGACATGTCGTTTTAATTTTCAACCCTCTTCTAGGGTGTCGCTTTATTAGAGACTGCCGTTATAATAGACTGTCTTTATATTAGAATAAAGAAGGTAAATATCAAATAATTTGAAATTGTTTAATTTTCTTAAGAAAATTATATTTTTGGTTAGAAAATATAAAAAATTATAACCTCTACAGTAGATTTTTTTAAATTTTTGTCTCAACGCTAAAAATGTACAATCCTTATTTTTCAACGCTTCAGAATTTTTGGTTATCGGACCTTATGCCCGATAATTATTTTATAGAAACATTCCCTAGGGGGACAAATACCCACATACTGTACAAAAAACGCTATCCTAACAAGGTAAAATAATATTTGGATAAAAACATGGATAGGAGAAATTAAAGATTAAATTTATTTAAATAAAAAGAAATATATTTAGATATTCTAATAAAAATTTTTTTCAGAAAATAATAAATTCATACAGAAATAACATCCTTTTTAAATTTAATTACTGACAGAGAATTATGGATAATATTACTTTAATTTGTTGTTTGACTAGCTTTTATTAAATAAAAATTATTTTTTGAGTATTTTCTGAACTATAATTATTGTGAGGAATGACAATTTTAAAAGCGATTTTTATCCAAAAATGAATGGAAGGAAGTATGGGAGAACCAAATTTGATAATTAAATACAGACTATAGAAATACATCGATTCCTAACAAATAATTTTTTTAAAATTTAGATTTTACAAAAGATTTATATTTATTATTTAACTGAATTTATTAATAAAAATAAATTGAAAGAAAATTTAAAGTTAATAAAATAATTAAAGTTTGGTTAAGCAAAAAATGGGGAAAGTATTGAATTAAAAATTAATTAAAGATAAATGTGGAGGGATAATAATTATTAATTTCTTATAAGTCTTTAATCAGTTAAAATTAACAACATTGTTGGGCAAAATTCTTGTTAAAGAAATAATTTTTAAAAAATATTTCTTTTTTAAAATAAATTCTCGACTAACCAAAAAGCTTTTTTGTTTGAATATGGTGAGCTTTAATTGATACTAAGCACAAAATACAAGGAATACTAGCGCTGTCGAAAGAGAAATGTTTAACGTTTGTGCGACTGGTGAATGCTAAATTAAAATTTTTTTATTAATTTTTATTATAAAATTTAATTTTTAAAACTTTAGTTAATCAATTCCCAAATTCAATTATTTATTTAAAAGAATTTATTTATTAAACTTGCCCAAGATTTATTCAAATAAAAGATCAACACAAGTTTCCTCCCCCTCCTTCCCCCCTTAAATAATTTTCATGTCCTGTTAAATCTCAACTCTGATTTTACTTGATTCTGACCATAACGGAGAACAGTGTTTCTCATTTGAAATTTTTTTAAATAATTCAGTAACAACGCCTATGTCTTTTTGAACAATTTCAGACTTAAAGAAGTATACACAGAAACGTTAAAAATAAACAAAAAATTTTAAATTTTATTTATTTTAAAAAATAGCAATTAAAAATACAAAGCAAAATTGCTTAAAAAATGTTGTCCTATATACATATTATTATTTCCATAGAAACAAATTTTAATTAATATTAAAATAAAGTAAATAAAAATGAATTAAAATTTTTTGGAAATATTTTATTTATTTTATTTTTATTTATTTTCTGTTTAAGTTATTATCCACAGAAAAATGTGTGTAAATTATCATAAATAGGTATTTAACTAAATTTTTTACATCAAAAAGGAAAGAGAGAAAATTAGGGAAAGAGATACATACCAAGAATTTTAAAGGTTGTTTGATAACTCAGATAATATGCCGCTTTACTTATTGGTATTAGCTTATTCTTCCTATAATAAAATCTCTGATACAATATGTAGTTTTGTCAAGTGGGATATCTTTGGTTGCTGGTTTCGCCGGAGAATATCATAAAGGAGATTAAACGTAAATCTTTTATAATAATTATTTAAAACTTTCTTATAGAATAGCAAATTCTCTAAAAATTATTTAATCATATTATGGAACCATTCAATAAATTACAACTTACAGAAGTTGAATATGTTCTATCAGTACTGTTATCTATTTTCATTCATTTACCATTGGCCTAAATAAACAAGGAAGGGAATTATTGTTAAATGAATCTGAGAAATATTCGAAAATATTAATGAAATTTTATAGATGTCAGAAAAAAAATTAGAGAGATTGAACAGAAACTAGATCTCGATCATAAACTGTGGTCTCGATCATAAACTTAATGTAAGATTCTTGAGATATTTTGAGAAAATTTTTAGAGATAAAGACAACAATCTTCAATCAATCGTGTTTGTTTTAATCCCTTGCAACGGCACAAAAAGTTTTTACTGTAAGAATTTAGCTTCATAATCTTGTTCAGAATCATAAAATTTAACCGAACTTAATATCTCTTTCAATCTATTGTTTTCATATTGTTTTCTAAATAATTTCTTTTGGTTCTTTGAACTTTCTCCTCATATCAAAAACCTTCGTTATATTGAAATTAAAACTGATTGAGTCTAACTTAACATTCCCACTCTCAATAATTAAATAAAAAAAAATTTGTATATTAATAAAAAAAATTATTTTACTACAATTTTAAAATAAATAGGTAATTTATACAAAAAATTCACGTGAGATTTTTGTCTTCTAATTTTCTTATCTTTTTGTCTTTTATTTATTTAATAATTGCACAAAATCTGATATTTATATTTTTTGTTTATTTAATCTTTTTATTTAAATTATTATCAATTTTTTTATATTTAAATATTTCAACACAAAATCTTTTGAAGTTTACCTCCTCTTTGTTCAATTTTTTTTTGAGAAAGTTTACTACCTATATTATTAATCTAAAAATTTTTATAAAAATTTTATTTTGTCGATTAAACATATTTTCAATAAAAAAAGTTTACTTCTAAGGTTTTTATTGAATTTAGTAAGATGTTAAGAAATTATAATTAAATTTAAATTAAATAATTGGAGGATATATGGAACCAGACATGGTCATGGATACGGATACAGATAATACCAAAATGCCTGCAGATATCAGCCTGTATCCGTCTGTATCCGGCATAAATATCCGGATACGGATATCAAAATCCGTATCCATTTCCTAGTCTGTATAGAATCAAAAACTAAATAACATTTTAATTCTTTTAACACTACCATAATTCTCTTATAAATTAACAAAAGTGATGTAATAATATTATCAAATAGAATTTTAATTTTTATTAAAGTCACCAGACTTGTTTATATAAAAAGTCTGATTATTTTAAATTTAAAAAATATTATAAGATTATTTTAAAATATTTTTGAAATTAATGGAAAATAATTTCGGCATTGGTGATGTTAATGAAGAAGATAACAAAACAGCGTTATCAGTTAATAAATTAAATGAAGAAAAGGAATTAATTCAAACAACTTTCTCAATTTCTTCATTTAATAATGAAAATGAATCTTTTAGTTCTTTAACTGACAATTCAGAATCTACAGAAGAATGTAAGGAATTTTGAACAGAGTTGATATTGAGAGTGATTTAATGGGAATGAATTGACCTTCTGATTTATTAAAATTCAAAAATAGAGGACTGATAATCTGCGAAATGAAGAATATTTTTAAAATAATTTACCCAAAACAAAATCTGATTCAATCAGAAACCAAATCTCTGAGCCCTAATCTTAAAAATAAGGAAAAATTATCTTAGCCCATCCTATTTTCAAATTAAAATTATAAAATTAATTTATTTAAATTTAAGTAAATGAAAGAAAATTATCTCCTCGTTCAGCACTTATTCCCTTTGTGGACCCTTTATGTAATCCAAAAAAACCAGTTAAAATACAATTTTCTGATATTTCATCAGCAGCGTTTAATATAAGAGATGGAATTGTTAGAACACCCACAATGGTTTGTTAATTACAATTTTTTGTATAAGAGATTGTACATCATAAGACTTCGATAGTAGGCGAGATATAATTTTAAAAACAAAATAAAATTGTGAAAAAAAGTCTTTATCTGACTGTAGTTTATTAGAATAGAATGTAGTAGATTTCCAATTCAAATTATCTAGAGGGATATAATAAAATTTCTCATTGTTTCTAACTATAATTGATATTTCTAAAATTTTCTTTAAATTATTTTTAAAATTTTTGACTTTATTATTAAAATTTTTAAGAGATCCAAAAGTTTTTCATCAATGTTCGGAGTCGATCTATACCTCAAACGAGAATATCTACATGTAACTGGTAGTTTCAAGGAGAGAGGTGCTCGTTTTGCATTAATTCGACTTAACGAAGAACAAAAGTAACTAATTTAATTTTTATATCGAGGGGTTGAGGAATTTGTGGATTTGAGGGTTGATGTATTTGTTAAAAAAAAGTTTTTTCTTCTAGACGTATTGGAGTTATAGCAGCTTCTGCAGGAAATCATGCTCTAGCTTTAGCCTATCATGGTCAACAATTGGGAATTCCAGTTACCGTAGTCATGCCTAAATGTGCTCCCTTAATGAAAATAAATTCTTGTGATTCTTTTGGAGCTAAAGGTTTTTTTAAATAAAAAATTTAAAATATATTTCAAGTTATTTTACATGGTTTAAATATACAAGAATGTAAATTACATGCATATGAATTAGCACAAGAAAATAAACAAAAATATATTAATGGATTTGATAACCCTGATGTTATTGCTGGACAAGGCACAATTGGATTAGAAATTTTAGAGGAGGTAGGGGGAATTAATGGGAGAGAAAATTTGATTTAAAAATTAAAGGTAAAAGATGTTGATGCAATCCTTGTTCCAGTTGGTGGCGGAGGTCTAATTGCCGGTGTTGCTTTAGCTGTTAAAACACTTAAACCTGAAGTTTCCATTATTGGAATGTTTGTGTTTATTTTATTAAAATAAATAAATTTAAAAATTTATTTGGTTATTTGAAATATTAAATAATTTTTCCAATTAAATACAGGGACTAGGGATCGGAATTTTTGAAAAGCCTGGGCCTGTTCCTGGGTTTGGCCTGTTGATTTATTGACCTGGGCCGGATCCTAGGCCTGTAGTCCAGGAAAAACCCAGGAAGGTCAAAAAATGCCTGGGCCTGAACTCTGGGTACAGGAAAAACCCAGGCCTTGGTCCAGACCCAGGCCGATCTCTAATATGGTCCATGACGAGATTTTGACACCCAAAAATATAGGTAATGTGGCCAAATTTCATAAAATCTTATATAGTGCGACAGGCCCAACGAGACCGACGATTTTGTTATATTGAAATTTGGTATTAACTCTAAAAGTGGGGATGTATCCCTAAAATAAGAGCATAGACCTCTTTATATTTATTCTAAATAAATTTTCTTTGAAATATTATTTATATAAAAATACTTTTTAAGAGAATCAGAAATCTGCCCATCCTTCGCTAATGCACTAAATGGCACAAACGACCCTCTATTTCCCGATCAAAGTTTAGCCGACGGTTTATCAGTCCCCACAGTAGGAAGCAATGCTTTACTCATTGCTCAAGGGTTAATTGATCAAATGATTACTGTTTCTGAAGGCTCTATTGCTTTGGCTATTCTACGCCTTATTGAGGTGAGAAAGAGATGAAATAAAAGAATTTTTTATCAGATTTTGATTAAATATTAGAAAAATATTTTTAAAATATTAAAAGGTAGAAAAATCAGTTGTGGAGGGAGGAGGCGCGGTTGGACTTGCTGCTTTGGTATCTGGAAAGCTTGACCATTTAAGAGGAAAAAGGTACTTTATGCTACGCTTACATAAAAAACGCAAGACGCCGGCGGAAGACGCTCGGCGTCAAGACGCCGGCGGAAGACGCTGTTTTGTGCTTACATAAAATCGGCGTCTTCCGCTAAGCGGGAAGACGCAAAGCGTCAAAACGCTAGTTTTATGTAAGCACAAAACAGCGTCTTCCGCCGGCGTCTTGACGCCGAGCGTCTTCCGCAAAAAGCTGCGTTTTTTATGTAAGCACTAATTGCGGACTAAATTTATAACAAATATTTTATTGAAATTAAATTAAACAAATAAAATTAAATCATTTTATCCTGCCATGATACCGATCCAACTTCACTGTTAAAATATTCTAATTAGAGGTCGGCGCGGAACGGGATCCCGACGGGATTTTCCGGGATCCCAGATTTTTGTGATTGTCGGGATCATTCGGGATCCGGGATTTTTTCGGGATTTATCCCTCGGGATTTATCCCTAACATATTTTTTGAAATATCCCCAGATTTTTGAAATATCCCCAGATTTTTGAAGTATCCCCAGATTTAAAAGGATATCCCCAGATATCTTTTTAATCTCTTAATCCCTTCAAACCCTTTGATATCCCGATATCTATTACGTAAAAATTTTTTATGTGAAAATCCCGAAATCCCAAGGGATTTTGCTAAATTTTAGAAAAGGATTACGCGATTAATCCCGCGGGATCCTGTCCGTAAACAATTTTGAAGAAAATCTGGAACTAGAACTAACTTGGAACAAGTTCCCGGGCCCGAATATAGGTCCTATAAAATCGAAAAACCATAGGGGGGACTCCCAAGGGAGCAAACAGTACGAGCAAACAGTACGAGCAAATTTGAAATTTCGAAGCCTCGATTTTCCCCAAAATTTTTTGTCCCTAACTATATGGGACGAGCCCTACTCATCAAGAAATGGTCACTTTTTCATGTTTTTGGTAACATTTGATAGAGAATCAAAAGCTAGCTCTACAACATATCAAAAAATCAGAATTTTTGCACGATTGATAAAAAAGTTATGAGATAAATACTCGATAGCATACTAAATATCTCAAAAATATCGAAAAAAGCAATCCCGGAGAATCGTGGTCCCTGCGAAAAAAAGTTTAAAAATAAGAAAAAGGGTTTTTCTAGGGTAAAAAAATATGCTGAGTACGAATCTGAACTCAAATTTTGAAAAAGTCGGATCCCGAACCCGAATATTGCCGAAAAAAAATAATATTTTTTGCAAAAAGTATACCTTTTTCAAAATCAATTTTAACCCATAAAATTTAACTTTAAAAATATAAAATTTATATTGATCGATAGAGAATGAATTGAATTTTCAAAATCTTTTTAAATTTTGAAAATCGGATTAGAATTGGCCGAGAAATGATCAAGACGCTAAAAGTTGCCGCAAAAAATTCAAACATGTTTGAATTAAAAAAAGAGACGCCGGCGTCAAGACGCCGGCGGAAGACGCAGTTTATGTAAGCACTCAAAAAAAGCGTCAAGACGCCGGCGTCAAGACGCCGGCGGAAGACGCGAGTTATGTAAGCACGCAAAAAAAGCGTCAAGACGCCGGCGTCTTGACGCCGGCGGAAGACGCAGTTTATGTAAGCACTCAAAAAAAGCGTCAAGACGCCGGCGTCTTTTACTCTCCTCATTTCCCATTATCTTTTCTGCCGCAAGACGCGCGCGTTTTTTATGTAAGCGTAGCATTATAAAATAAGAGGGGTATGTCGAAAGGGATTTTAAAACAATGAAAAGCGGGATAAAAAACAAAAAAGAGAAAACGAAATTTAAAAAACAAAAAAGCGAAAATATCATTTCCATTTATAAAGAAAATTATTGTTATGATCATAAATTATTCAAAATTTATTTTTTAAAGAGTAGTGGCAATTCTGACAGGTGGAAATATAGACACTACAGTTCTTGGTAATAAATAAAATTTTAAATAGTAAAAAATTTCTCGTTAAAGGAAGAACAATTGAACGGGGTTTGGCTGTCGATGGTCGACTAATTAAATTTGACGTTGTTGTTTCTGATCGTCCTGGAGGCAATTAAAATTTAATTTGAATAAATTTAAATAAGAAATTAAAAAAAGGAATTGCCGAATTGACAGCGGAAATAGCAAAAATAGGTGCTTCTATCAAAGAAATATTTCATGAACGTGCCTGGTTATCAGCTAATATTCATTCAGTTATGGTTAAAATTGTTTGTGAAACTAGAGGGGAACAACATGTACAGGAATTAATTGAAAAATTAAATAAAAAATATAAACAGGTATTTTGATGGAAATTAATAAAAATATATCTTTTTTAGATAAATTTTCCAAAATCAAATTCAATTTATTATGGAATGAATAATATTTGTATTTAATTGAAATAAATGAATTTAATTAAAATAATTAAAAAATTTTAAAAATATTTTTTTATTTTTTAATAAATTTTAATACAAATAAAATGAAGATTTTAATTATAAATAGTAAATTATTGATAGGGAAATACATATCCCCCACCCATACTCCGATTCGGACAAACAATATTTCATTAGAAAGATCTCGTCGATGTCATTCGCCTCAGCTCGACGCAGCTTTTTCGATGTTTGTCCATCCAGAGTATGTCAGATAAACGGAAAAATCAAATAGTTTGATATTTGAAAATATTTGAAAAAATTTGATTTTTTTCGAAATACATCAATCAAATATTTCAAATATTTGTTTATTCGATCTCTAATAATATGACGGAATTTTACAGTTTAATAATATAATGTTATCTCGTATTCTTGTGAATTTACAAGTTTTTTTGGTTGCGGATATCTTTTGTGGGTGTTTTTAAAATGAAGGAATTTTGAATATTTTTGTTTCCAAATATTTTGAATAGGGTTTTACTGCAAAATCAAAGTATTTTTTAGGTCAAGGTGTGTCTGTTTTGTTATAATTCTGTGCTTTTTATTAGATTTTAGTTAATTTTCTCTTAATATTTTTGTTGAATTTTTTGCAAGTTTGTGTTGTTATTTTTCTTAAATAAATTTTGTTCATTTCCATTTAATTGTGCTTTTTGAATATTTATTTTGGCACCAATTTGTTGTGTTTTTAAATTTCCACTAACGGCAGAAATTCCAACTACAGATGAACGCCAAAACAAAACATTTTTTGTAGCTTTACGAATTTGATTGTTAAACAAAAATAAAATAATAGCTGAATTAATTGGAATTATTAGAGTTATTTTTTATAGAAAAAAATTTTTTTACTAAAGATAATTTCAAATAAAAGGAGTAGTACACTCTTAACTTTGGTTGGTAGCAGATGTGGGTCGGAATTCCGATTTCCGACTTACGATTTCCGGCTCTTCCGATTTCAGACCCCTCTGACTGTTCCGACCCACCTCTGGTTGGTAGGCTATCCCTCCACTAAACAGCTTTAGCTAAAATTCTCCTTTAGGAATCCTTTTTAAATATTTTTTACTTTAAAATTTTTCAGGAAACTGCTAACAGTCTTCTTAAATATAGTAAGAATTTAGCAAAAGCTTGGCCAGTACCATAAGAAAAGATAAATGAAAGTCATGGAACTAAAAATAACCCCAAGCTGATGGCTATTTCTTAGAACCTTCAAAAGTTGCCGGGCAACTTTTGCTTTTTCTTTTCCCATTATAGATTATTTGACCTAAGCCCAATAACCTTAAATGTTCTAAGATGAAAGAATCTCCTTGTAATATTTAAAATTTTAAAAATTTTTTACGATTTAATAGATTTTGAGTTATCATTATCCAATTACAAAAAATATTTAAAAAAAGTTGTGCCAAAGTATTTGGAGGAGCTAGGAGGAAATTAAATGCAATATCTTCAAGTTCAAGCATTCCACAAATTAGAAACCCCTGAAATATTTTTTTGAATTTTATCTTTATTTTTTTAATAAAAATCAAAAAATCAACAACCCACGGCATTTAAAAAATAATTTTAAAATAAAATGAAGGAGGAACAAAAATAAAATAGTTGCAACGTTAATCGCCACGTCTTTTAAAAATATCCAAAGTAAATCATCACATGAATTATGAATAAAACATGAAAAAATCAAATGATAAAATACATAAAATTCTAAAAAGTTATGAATAATATATAAAAATTTATATTTTATTTATAAAATGATGTGGGGCAGTAAATTAGTGAAAATTATGAAAAAATAAAAATAGTTGCTGGATAAATTATGTTGACATAAAGATACATTAATATTTGATGAGAAAAGAGAAGAATAGAGAATGACAAAAAATTTGAAAAAATATCTTTAAGAGATAGTAAAATTGTTGATTTGTAGCTAATGTCAATAAACAAAAATTTTGAGACAGAGTGCCACGTAGAGATGATAAAGAATTCGTCATTTAAATGAACATATAAAAGCAAAGAAAATCAAGAAGTAAATATTAGATATTCAACAATCAACAAAAATGAAGGTAAATTTAATTAAGAATTATTATAAAAATTAAATAATTTAGTTGATAGTAATTATTTTGTTTCAATTATGTTTTATCGTTAGTGTGGATTCATATGAAAAACGTAAGAAATTTAATATAAATAAAAGTAAAAATAATTATAACAGCATGCTGTATCGGAGAGTATTTCAATGATTGCTTTGACTGCCCATATGGACAGACTTGCTTGTACAGTGGGGAATGCTCGGGAAAAAAGACAACAAAAAAAGTAACTACAACCCCAGCTGAGGAGACCACTCCTGCTGCAACTACAACTCCAGCTGAAGAGACCACTCCTGCTGCAACTACAACTACAGCTGAAGAGACGGTTCCGTGACTTTTGCGCCGTGAACATTTGCGCCGCGACTTTTGCGCCGCGAATTTTGCGCCGCGACTTTTGCGCCGAGCGACTTTTGCGCCGCGAATTTTGCGCCGCGACTTTTGCGCCGAGCGACTTTTGCGCCGTGGGACTTTTGCGCCGGGGGACTTTTGCGCCGCGACTTTTGCGCCGGGCGACTTTTGCGCCGTCACTATCATTACTAATTATGAGAAATTACAGCCGAGCCTCACTATAGAAGATGTAGGATGGTTGGAGATCTTCGGATATCAAGATCCGGATCCATATCCGACCTACAATTTTCGGCTATCCAGCCTTTTTCAGATCCAGATATCAGGACCCTACAATATAGTGCACCCTCTTTTGGCAGAAAATCATGCCTGAATAGGGGTAGTAGACCAAATATCCTGATCCGAAAAAGTCAAGTTCTTTGAAAATGACCCCTCTAGGGGGCTGGTTTATTTTTTAACCTTCCTCTAGAGGGTCGTTTTATTAGAGGGGGCTATTGTACTTCCCGAAATATTGCACTTCCTGAAATTCCTTCAGCTCCTGGATACCATTTTTTAAGGAGTACCCTATAATTAGGTGCCTCTGTAGATATTATTTTTTTAAAATTATGGCGGCGCAAATGTCGCGGCGCATAAGTCGCCCGGCGCAAAAGTCGCGGCGCACAAGTCGCTCGGCGCATAAGTCGCGGCGCAAAAGTCCCCCGGCGCATAAGTCGCGGCGCAAAAGTCGCGGCGCAAATGTTCTCGGCGCAAAAGTCGTGATACCGAAGAGACTACCCCAGCTGCAACTACAACTGCAACTGAAGAGACCACTCCTGCTGCAACAACAACTCCAGCTGAAGTGACCACTCCTGCTGCAACCACAACTCCAGCTGAAGAGACCACTCCCGCTGCAACCACAACTCCAGCTGAAGAGACCACTCCCGCTGCAACCACAACTCCAGCTGAAGAGACCACTCCTGCTGCAACTACAACCGCTGAAGAGACGACTGCTGCTGAAACTAAAACTCCAGCTGCAACCACAGCTCCAGCTGATGAGACCACTCCTGCTGCAACTACAACTCCAGCTGAAGAGACCACTCCTGCTGCAACTACAACATACCCGGGCGTCTCGTATTCGATAATTTTGAACGAAGTTATAGCTCGACGGTACAAGGGCTCGTTGTGCATTGGCATGCTCCATCTATTGACTTTTACTCTAATCCTAGTTAACTAATTTGGATTATTTGAACTATATTTTCGCACAAACCGTCTCTCTCACTTATGGTACATTTTTAATCTGACTGCCCACTGACAATGAGTATTTTTTCTATTTGTATGCCCAATATGTGTGCGCAACCAGTATACCTAGCAAATTTGTCTAGCTTAGCTTATAATTCCTAATTTTCTTTAGTGTTTTACTGAAAAAGTTAACAGTCTAATTCTTTTTATTTGCCTAAGAGTTAAGATGAATGATTTAGCCTAAGAAATGATTTAGCCTTGGCAATAATAAATATAGTAACTTTTACTTGAAATAAGAAAGATCGTTCAGAGCGAAAACGTTTGCGAGCCTGTTCAGCCTCCAAAGAGTTCTGTATATTTTTGAATGGATTTGAGATTTTTATAAATACAAATATCGCCAAATATGTGATTAACATTATGACTGGCATGGCGCTTGGTGAATAATGGAAGTACTTAATTATAAAATTAATTTGTTCTAACAAATAATTTTAATACTTTTGCCCTAAATTTTAATTATTATTGTTAGCCTTCGTTTAAGATAATTTTATGAGTTATTTATGGAATCAAAATTAGAAATGTGATTTTGTACTTCCTAAAATAACCCTGAAATAGAGCCAAAATTAAGATTTTTAATAGGTATAATTTTGTTGATTTAATGATAAACGAAGATTTTTTGTCGTTAATTTCCCCTAAACCAGGAATTAACTAATGGAATAAAAATTATTTAAATATATTTTTATACTTCTCTAATGGCCCAAATAATTGGATGAACTGTTTCCTCCTTACACACAAATCCAAGCAATAAATCTAAAATTAATTTTGTTGAGAAAAAAATAAACTAAATAGCCTTTTTCTGAATATAATTTAAAGCAACCCCCAACATCTAATGTAATCCCAATTACAAAAGCATAAATCCAAATTGCAATAATTGGCCTGAGATTTTAGAAAATTAAGGAAAAAATTTTTTTAATTTTACTTTAAAATGTTTGAACGGCTGAAAAGACTTTCATTTAATTTTGGTGACACAAAAACTGTTGCACGATTTAGTGTCATCAAAGCGCTAAAAAATAGAGTACAGCTATAGTTTATTGTATTCATTATTCCAAAAATTCTAAGCATAATTCCATGTCCATATATCTAAAATTAAAACTTTAAATAAAAAATTCAGAGGCAACATTGTCCTTTTAAATCATATCTGAGATTATATTTTAGTATGTTTACTATGTGTTATCCTAAGTATATCAGATGCTATATATGAAACAGGCACACAGGCTTACGTACTAGGTGTTATTCTATTTGACTATTTTGTTGTTATTTCTTTATTGTTATGATTTTGTTACCCAATTACCCTCATTTTACAACAAATATATCTACATATAAATTAGGATTTAATTAGGATCTCGAAATGATTTTTCATAGATATGACACAATATATCATATTTATAATTAAATTAGTTCCCCTCCTACCCTCCCAGACTTACAGCATTTCCAGTAAACATAATTGGAATTGCCAGCAAAAGTTGAAAAAAAATTTGGTTAGCAATATCCGCAACAATTAATTGCCAGTTAATTAAATAGAAAGCGAAGCAATCACCGGGATTAAACTTGAAATGTGTTTAATTTAAAAATATTAAAATGATTTTTACAATTTTACCCTATTAAATAAATTGAAAGTAATTCATTCCTACAAGCATTGAAAAATTTACAAAAAAGTTTCTAAATTTTCTACTAAGGTATAAGAACAGGTTAGCTACTGGCTTTAGAAACTGAAATTAAATTTTGACAAAAACAATTTTCCAGCAAAATTTAGATTTGTTATATGTTTGTCCATACAATAATTTTAAAACTAAAATTCCAATTTTTAGCAACTTAAAGGAAATTCCTAGGCCAACCTTCCTATATTCATAATGTTTTCACAAAAATATTTTTTAAAAAATTAATTAATTGAATACCTTTCTAAGTGCCAATATCAGCAAAATATTAGCAAACAAAGAAAAAATTGAAAGAATAGAAGAAATACTTCCTCCGACAATTCTCACAGTTAAAAATAAATCTGTTGGGTTAGTTATGTTGTTAATATTCATTTTTATTTTGGAAATATGAAGTTTCTTATTTTAATAGATATAATTACTTTTTTTTATCTTTCAGTTCTCTATTTTTATTGAATAATATTTTTATACTTTATTTAATGAAATTCCTTTTCTATATACAAGATATACCTAAGCTACAAATCATACCTTAAATACACAGCAGGGATCCCTTCCGGCTCCGTCTTTCCCCCTTTTTTTCGGCCTACCGTCTTCATCTATTTTTAAAGCAAGGGCCATCCCTGATACACAGCCCTTCAGCTAACCGTTTTAAATAAATATACCGGCTGTTGGAGAATTTTTTATTTTTAAATTGACAATAAAGTATCAACATAATAACCGTGATTAAAATCATTAAATACATGTGAAATAGGAGGGGCATAAAATAATAACTTTTAGAGAACAAATTCGGGCCAAATACCGTCTCTTTCGTAAATTAATTATTAATTGCCTTAATAAATTATAAGTAAAATAGAAAATTTATTTTTGGACATATATAAATATCACAAACTAATTTATTATGTATTTATATAAAATAATTTTTTAATTAACCCATAAAATACCAGGAACTAAATACCTAAGTTTATTTCCTCTTAAACAGGTGTATTTTAGAATCTAAATTAATTTTTTTGATTTTAATATAGTAGTTAATGAAGCATAAAATCAACAAAGCTCACAAAATCATGATTTCTAGGTGTTGGGTATGTGCTTAGTATAAAAGGCTACGGCTTTAGCCATTCGGGGGTTAGTGTCTGTTAGTGTTATTCTTAGTCTTATTCTAGTGCTCCACATATTCGGCGTCGGCCATATTCCTATTGTTCGCTACTATTGTATTTAGTCTTGTAGATAAAGCACAGTTGTTAGTTACTGTCTTATCTTGTTATTCTTGTTAGTACGTAGACATAGCAAGTCACGTACATAACACTAGGTAATAAAGGCAATAGACTACTTAATCCAAATTCTATATATTTTGCCAAAAATTTGACAAGCATTTTAAATATTAATTAAATTTTAAAAATAGATTTATATTCATTAAATGACAAATAAAAACTAGATTTATGTAAAAAAACGTTTTTTGTGAAGCAAATTAAAAGTATTTATTACTTTAATTTAATTTTAGCTTTTATTATATTAAATTCACCTGTCGTAAATTATTTATTGGCTATATTCAAGAACTCTTTGTAAATATAATTTATTTTAATAAAACGAGGGAAAGTAAGTTAATTAAGTGTAAATTTAGAATAATTTGAGAAAAAATTTGAAGAAAAAATTACTAAAAAATTGCCCAAAAGTACAAATTGCTACAAAATAATTTAAAAATTCAAAAAAAATATTGAATGTTAAATGGGGAATTCTTGATTTTTTGTTTGAACATTCAAGAATCAGTAGGGTAAATGCATAATTATTATACGGAAATAGTAAATTTATGCAAAGTTTGCCCTCATGAAAGGATTTTGGATAAATTTTATTTTTGTCCATTTAATCAAAATATTTCCTATTTAAGTCCCATAAATTTATTTTTGAACAACTTATAGGATTTTTAAAAAGATTTCGCATTTACAACAAGAAATGAATTGCCATTAATTCTAAATATATTTTTTAAATTGTTATTAAAACATAAAAATTAAATTAAATTTATATGTTGTATATATTTTTCCTCTGTTGCTTAATGCAAAATAAATGTACAAATATAGAAATATGTTAGTAATTGTAGGGTGATAAATGGTAAAATTAAAAATAAAAATAATAAAATGGAATATAATAATAACCGTTACGGCGGTACGACAATTGCGGATACGCACGTGCGGATGCGACGATTGCGGATATAAAATTTTTAAAAAGTTTAAGATTTTTTAAAGTTTTAAGTGCCACATCAGTCTAAAAATGATTCGGAAACCGTCACAAGTCGGAAACTGACAGCCGGGAGTAAAAAACGGAACATCATTTCAATCTTTTTTAAAATTAAAAAAAATTTTTAATCCGCAATTGTCGCATCCGCACGTGCGTATCCGCAATTGTCGTAACACCACCGTTACTCTCCTTCAAACGTCGGCTCGATTTTGGATTATCGGAAATTTTTATTTTTAAATAGGTCTCTAAAGACATCTTCAAGATATAAAGGTTCTAGAGAAAATCGAAATTTTAGTTGGAATAAAAAGTTGCCTCTTCTATAAATGTATTTATATTCGAAGAAGAATCCCAACAAAACAAAGATCTCTTTCAAAAAGTTTATCAGAAATAAATTAATTAATTGAACAAAAAAGGAAGTGAAGTTAAAGCTAAATAGAACTACATATTTTTAAAAAGTTGTAGCAACAAAAAAATATTTTTATAAATTTTACTTAAGATTAAAATAGGTATACTCAGAAAATTTATTTTAAAATAATAATGTGATATTTTGTAGTTTAAATACAAAATTTGTGGTAAAAAACTAAACAATTTTAATTGTCACTTTAACATTCGGTTTAGCGGTTCCGGGTATCCAAATATCCAAAATTTTCGGTTCAATTATAGGCACCCAGGAACCACATATCTTAGTTGACATTTAGAATTGTTTAGTATAAAATAGGGTTGTTGGCAACCGGTTATTACCCGGTACCCTCGGTCTTCGGTTAATCTAAATTTTAGAAACCCGGTTTTCGGTTTTGAGTTTTAGACAAATACCGGTTATATTTTGTGGAAATTTTTAATAAAATCATTCATTTTCATAAATTTCCGGTTTTCGGTTTTTAAAATTTTCTAAAAACGGTTAATTTTTGGCAAAAAATTTCAAAAATTCCGGTTTTAAAACCGGTCGCCAACAACCCTAATATAAAATATAAAATAAAAATTATCGAATAATACTTAATTATGATCTGGAATTTGTAAAAATATTATGTACATACATAGTTATGGAATTTTTATTTCACCGTTAAGCACGGCAGAAGACCGAGGGAATAAATATATTTTGAATTTCCATTTTAAATTTTTTAAATTTTTCTTCCAAATTTTAGCTTCAATTACTTTAGATTAAAAACTCCTTTTAAAAATCAATCCTCATCCAATAATTTTACATTTATAAATACTTTTTTGTTAGCTCCATCTCCAACTCCACTTTTCTTATTTTTCTTCTTCATTTTTTCTTTTTGTTTACGCCCTTCAATTTGTTGTAAATTTACAGCCTCTTTTACGGCTTCATGAACATTTTTAGAAATTAAACGTTTATTTTCTTCAATAATTGCCTCTTTAACAAGTTTGCGAGTTTCAGACTTTAGTAAACGATGTAAATCTTCATTAATAGGTTCTTCTGTAATCCGATTAAGGGATTTTTGCCTTTAAAAGGAAATAATACGTAAGGTATGTTTAAATCTCTCTAACGACAGACTTCTCCCCCTCCCTCCCCTCTACCTTCCCTCCTAAGTCCCATAATAATCCATTTGGACTTGATATTATTTTTTGACCCTTTTTAGTGATTGTATAAAGATTTTATTTTAAATTTAAATAGTTACAGAATTTTTTGCAGAATTTCTAGAGCACTTATGATATGGAGAAAACGGATTAAATTTTTGGTATTATATTAATTAGGACTCCTTTTTTGAAAAAAATCTCAATAAATTTAATATACGATTCGATATTTTGAAACTTTAAATATTCTAATAATTTACAGAAAATAATAAATTCTGTGTCATTTAATCAGTTGAAACAAGGGGTGATCGGTGATCGGTCCCACAATTCTCTTGCTTTATACTTAAGTACTGTACAAATCCTTCTTAAAAAACATACCAAATATACCATTTATCCCAATTATTTTTATGTTTTTCACGACAGTCAATTCCATCTTTTTCAGATTTGTCATTGCCTATATTGCAAATATATGCAGCTGCTTCAACTAACATAAAACGGCTAATGAATTTATTTTGAAGATTTTTTGTTTCCTATTTGGGAAAAAATAAAATAAATTTGCAAATATAAAATAATACAAAATTATTTTTCGATTTTTAGTAATAAAAAAGGATTTGATTAACTAAGTTATTTTTCCTTAAATTAAATTAAATTGAGTGTTAAGATATTCTCTGAATCGGAAATAAATTGAAGGATTATTTAATCGTTTTCAATGTTTCTAAGGAAATTTAGTAATATGAAGAAACAAAGATTTTAGGGAAAAACAAGGAAGGTTTCTTTGAAATGAGTTTTAAGAAAAAAATTTTGGTAGCCTGAAGTAGCTCTCCTAAATAACTATACAGACTAGAGCTTCGCCGGAAGTTCCTATTCCGGTAGGCCGGAACAAAAAAATTAGATTCGGTTCTGGATCCGGTCAAATTTGTGGTTCCGGCGAAGCATTAATATAGAATCACTCCCCCCTCCCCCTTCAATTAGCTGTAATACAAAAAGTATTTCTAGTTATAAAACGATTCTTTTTATGTTAGTTATATTCGTTTCCAAAATAATTTTTCTAATTTCAGAAAATTTTTTTTAAATATTTTCAATAAATATATTTTAACTAGGGTTCAGTGGTACCGGTATTCCGAGAAAAAACGGTATCGGTTTTTCGGATTGACGATACCGATCCCGATACCGGTACCGACTCGGGATCGGGATTTAAAAATCGGTATCGGTATTTCCTAAAAAAATTTAACACATACAACGAGATATAAATAAATTTTGAATGCAATTGCTGCCAACATAGTTAATACTTTTTTTGATTTATGAAAAATGTTGTTATAGACAATTTTTAAAACTATATTTTCAAATTCTGTTGTTTCTTTCTTTAATTAAATTTAGTTAATTTTTAATTCTTTCTATTTTTAACAACCTTCCCCACCTCTTGAACAAAGTTAGAGCGTGACAATTGCCAAATTTCATTATCTTCAATTTCTTTGTCGAAAACCTTTTCAAAACCTTTCAATTCATTCGTCTCAATTTGAAATGGACCTTTAAAAAATTATTTTTCAAAATTATTCCTTTCGAATATAAATTGTAAAGTATAAATTTTTTTATCGAATCTAAATTGTAAAGTCGAAATAATATTTTTAACGCTATCTTTAAAGGTTAACCTCGAACTTAGCCTATCTTTTTTCTTATTTTTCAATTCCTAAAACGAACAATTCCCTTTACGTAAACAGAACAATGACTTAGATATTTTTACATTTAATTCAAAAATTACTGAGAATGTTTACCAGAAATGGCGGGTCCGGTTTCGGGTAGTGTCCGGCACGGATTGTAACATATCGTTACTTTTAGGTACTACTGGCCTAAAATCTAGTTACCGAGCTTTTTTAAAGGTAAAAAAATTCTTGGTTTCGTGTAAACTGCCCCATTCCTGATATATTTTTTTATTATTTTTAGGAATATTTTTTACCATTATATTTACTGTTATCATCATTCGATACATTTATTTCATTATTATCCAGATTCAATGGCCATTTCTCTTTCTCATCGGTTAACTTTTTCCAATCCTCATCCTTATACCCCAAACTTTCTTTAACATTTTTAACATAATTTTTGAGACTCTCAATTGTTTTTATATCTTCTTCAGAAATATAAATTCCTAGTGAATCTTCTTTCATTTCAAATAATTCTTTGAGTGATTCTATATTCAAGGGGGTCTCAAAAAATTGAACGAGAATGGCAAACAATGAAGCATCCGCCTAAATAATTTTTAAAAGTTAATAGAACAGTCCAAGGTGTTCATAAATAAAGTTCTGATAATTTTAAAAAATAAAAATTAAATAAACAAAATCCTTTTTAAAAACACAAAAACCCCTCCTTAAATTTATCTTTATTAGAAAACAAACTTTGGTTGGATTATCGCCAAAGAGAAATTTATTTTTTTCAATTTTTTCTTTAATTTTATTTTTCTCGATTTCTTTCAAGAATGTTTGAATTATCTGATGATCCGTCATTTTAATTAAGTCTTTCTTTTGTAAATATAAACTTAACTAAATTTAAAATATTTAAAAATAATGTTACTTTATTTAAATATGTAGTAAGAGCGAGGTAAAAGTTTTTTCCGGGCAGGCTTCGATCCTGCGACCTCCTGGCAGTTATGTATAGCTAGGCGCTTTCGCTCACCACGTACAGGTTCATCTTCTCTTTTAATAGATCTTAAACCCCCGTCTAGTGAGCGTTTTAAATGCTAGTCAGCTGAATCTTTCTCTTCCTTACAATATAATGTTACTTTAAATAAATTCGAATTTTAAAATTCTGTCTGTTTCAAAATTAAATGGATAATAAAGATCGGATTAAGAATCACTGGATTTGCATTGATTAGGTGTTAATTGGATGAAGGTCTTCCGATCGACCCCTTTTATAAAAAACAAACCCTTTTCTCCAAACTTCTTTCCCCGTCAATGAAATATTCTCTAATATTCCATTTAATGAGTGTTTCCATTGTTCTAACAAATTCTGACCAGTATCCATTTAAATATCCATTAAAATATTTTTTATTAAATATTTTTTTCTTTTCCTCAAAATTCATTTCCCCAATTAAATAATTATAATAATTATTTGCATCCTCATCAAAAATTGTATTTAATTTATTTTTATTAATAATAGACTCTTCAAAATCATTTTCATTTTTTATTTTTGTAGTAGAAGATTCTGCTACAGTTGATCCCCAATCTTTTTCTCTTAGGCTCCCATACAAAATCTCTATTCCTTAAAATCGCTATTCCTTAAAATCTCTACTAGGCTAAAAATGCTTAAAATCTCTATTCCTTAAAATAACTATTCCTTAAAATCTTTACTGGGGTAAAAATAATTAAAATCTCTACACCGCGCAAATGGACGGTTGAGTCTCAACAAAAGTGTACCATCTGAATCTTTCTCTGGAAAAACCAGACTTGTTAATGGATACGGGTACAATTAGTTTAAAAATGGCTGCCATATCCGCCTGTATCCGCCTTAAATATCGAAAATATAAGACACGACTGCTTCGCTGCGGTCGTGTTCATTTTCCTTGCGGTGATCGTATCGAAGCGGCTGCTGTCGTTCCGCTGGACATGCCTGGGTTCATCCGCAGCGTCAAAAACTATTCAAGCAAAAGATAATCCAGAAATCAGATCAAAAGATAATCCAGAAATCAGAACAACGTTCCCGCACTTAACGTTGGCACTCAAAAGGCTTCTTAATAAAAATAGATATTTTGCCCATTTTTGAGCCTTGTAGAGATTTTAAGGCATTTTACTCGTGTAGAGATTATGAGGAATAGAGATTTTAAGGAATAGTTATTTTAATCATTTTTAGCCGAGTAGAGATTTTAGTGAATTTTAGCTGTGTAGAGATTATAAGGCATTTTAGACCAGTAGAGATTTTAAGGAATAGAGATTTTGAGGGGATACGTTCTCTTACACTATTACTCGATCCGTCAAAATTAATATTTTCTAGCCCAATTATGTTATTATTTTCTTCTTCTTGATTTTCTTCCTTCATTTTTCCTTCCAAATATTTATATGTAGGAATTTCGTCCATAACTAGTGCCCCGTTGGAATTTTGAGGATTTTCTGCTTCTATTCCTTCATTATCAGTATTTTCTTTCTCTTCGTTTAAATTCATTTCTTAAAATATTTTTAATTAAGTGCCAGTTATAAATAAGGTAGTGTATACTAGAGATCAGTATTTTAAAAATTCTGGATCTGGATTTGAGTAAGTAACCTGGACAGGATTCTTGGTCTGGATCCAGAGAGAATCCAGAAAAAGTCCAGGTAGATCAAAAAATGTCTGGATCTGGACTCTGGATCCAGGAAAAATCCAGACTGTATCCAGATCCAGACCTATCTCTAGTGTATACTAATTAATGCCTAATAAAAATTTAAAAGATTTCTGGATCGTTGAAAACTTGTGGCATTTAAGCTATGCTAAATTTATTTTTTGTTTGGAAACATTTTTAAGATCTGAGAAACATTTTTTGTTTGGTTCTTAGTTGGGCATTGGGCATTTGTTGTGGGGGGTCCCTCGCGGCGTTTGGAGGATTTGGTCTTTGTCCCTCAAACACAAAGTTTTCAGGCTATTTATTCTGTTATTTTTAATTAAAATTACTTTCATCATCCAAACTTTCATCCACAACTTGTTTCATCTTTTTCATTTTCTTTTCATTAATTTCTTCCCCATTAATGCGTGCTAATTCAAAATAATCTCGCCAAAATTCTTCATACACTCCTTTAAGAATAAAATTATGTTCAGTTTCTATCCCTTTAACAGTAAATGAAGTTCCAATTCCAAAATCTATTCCTAAATCCAATTTAAGATCTGACATTGCCATTGCTGGGATAACTTGTTCTCGAACTCCTGGATCTGTCATTAAAAATTCAAGTCCTCCTTTTGAAGCACTTGTGCTTGTATTACTTAATTCCGATGTTTCCTTCTTTTTATTACAATTGACACGGTCGCAGAGTAAAATACTAAAATAAATTATATATTTTTTATAACATCCGCGCAATATTGCAATTTCAAAACAAACTCGCCAAAACTTCTTTTCGATTGCTACGAAAACTAACTAGATAGATTTGATCAAATTTGGAAAAGTTCGATAGGGTAATTTTGATCAATCATAATTTAAGCTAATATATCGTTAGACTAACAATAAGCTTGACGAGTCGAATCAAATGGGTTTATAATTTGTATATTTTAGGAAAGTAAAAGAATGGAAAATGTGGACGAATAAACACATTTGTAAGTATATTAGTGTTACGCATTTAAAGAGAGCGAGCTGGAATCTGGATCCAGACCTTGATATTTCCTGGATCCCGAGTCAATATCAAAACATATTTCAGTGTTACTTGATTTTTCCTTGACTCAAGGTCAAGAATCTGGTCAAGGTACTCACTTAAAATCATGGTCAAGGATTTTTGAAATCTCGATCTCTATTATTTAATCAAAAAAACAAATACTCGTAAAGCAGGCCTTCAGCCATATTTATAATTTTCTCGCTGTTTTTATACGACTTTTTATCAAGAGGGGCTATACTAATATTTTTTTCAATAATTTCTTCTCCTTTTATCTCATTTTCTGCCTTCTTAGTTTTTCGAGATTTTTTCTTTTTTTGTTTTTTATTATTTTTTCTTTGCCATTTCTGCATTTCTTTGATTATATTTTCAGATCCATAAATGTATTTACCATTAAATTGGGCAAAAGGTGAAAGTCCTTCGGGTGAACCCAACAACCATTCATTAGAAAGATTCTAAAAAGTGGAAAATTCATACGAAAATTTTTATAGAAGGAAACTAAAAATCTTTTTTAATAAGCTCTAGTTGATTAATGCCGGCGAATCCCGCTTTTTTGGATTTGTCTTGTTTTTTTAATTTTAAAAAATGACGTTTTCTTTTGTCATACTACACAGAAATGTGCATAGCCTTGTTGGGAATATTTAAAAATTTCTCAGAACCATAATCCTAATTATTCACAATTTACCCACAAAATATTCAATTCCACTCCAACGAAGCCAAGCCTCCACTTTCAAAGCTTTTGGGTGTCCAACAATCGAAGAAGTACGTGGATGTTGGAATAAATAAACAAAATCTTTTTTAGCATTTTCAACCAACAAATTATTTGTTTGTTGTTTCGATTTGTTTTTAAAAATGTTGAAAGAAAAGGAAGATTTTTCTTTTTGAGGAGAATAGGGGAGATTGAAGAGACCTAAAAATTTTTAAAAATTTTTAGAAAAAGTTTTGTTAAGTAAATTAAACCCCCCCCCCTCCCAATAATAATTTAAATTATAATTTAATTAAATAATTTTAATATAATATCTTTTTACTAACCTAAACACAAACTAAATAATAACAAAAAAATAAATAGACGAATAAACATTTGTTTTTCTTTAAAATTTTAATTAAAAAATAATTTTAAATAAATTTATTTTTGATTAATTTATTCTCTCCTTTAAATAAACAAATTATTGCCCTTTTATTTTTAAAAATAATTTTTTGCCCTTTTTATTTACGCCGCTTTATTTATTTCAAAATTGCACTTTTATATGTAAATAAAAATAATTTTTTTTTCAAAATTTAGAAAGGCGGAAAATTAAAAAAAAATTTTTTTGATGTTTTTCACGTGAAAAAAAAATTATTTTTAAATTAATAAATGTTGCACTTTAAATAAATTAATTGTATGTACATATATTAACATTAAATGTATTTATTAATTATAATTAATGAAATCGAGGATTTGGAGAGGAGATTGGCACAAACAATAGAAAATAAAAGGTAGTCAGTTCCAACCTTGAAGTCCAAAACCCCACGCTTGTTTGCTAATCCGCAATTGTGGAAAACCTGAAAAATAATTTTTATAAATAGAGAAGGCAGTTAGATTAACGGTCCTGAAAAACAAAAAAAAAAAAAAATTGAGAAAATTTAATTAATTTTTAAAATTATTTCTGAATTAAACAGGAAAGCTATAAATTATTAAAAATATTTCATAATATTGAAATTATTATATGTACATATAAGTATATTAAACTGAAATTAAATAAAAGTATGAATTTTTTATTTTGAAATTATCTTTTGTAAATAAATATATGGAGTCGCTTTAGTAAGATCCTGAAAAATAAAAATTTTTGGGGTCAAAAAATCTAAACTGTATATTATACACAATGGGGGTGTTTGACTACGATCGCCGCCAAGCGGCACCTCCACCTTCAAAGCCTCTGGATGTCCAACAATAGAAGTACGTGGATGTTGAAATAAATAACTTTGTCAAATCAAGTCATTGATTTGATTTATTTTAGTGTCATTCGATTCAGTTCGAGGAGCTATTTCGAACGAGCTAACATTTGTATAATCGAATCTTTTACCCCAAAAATTAGCTTGGTCCGCGGTTTTTCGATTTTCAGGGGCTTATATCTTTGCGAGTTTTCGTCTCCCGCAAAAAATTTTTACATATTTGAGCTCAGATCGGCGAGAGACTTGTATTATTGTAAGGAGAGTTCTCAATTACTTTCTCTGAAGAATAGACTTTAATTATCTTATGAAATTAAAAAATATTTCTTGAAATGATGTAAATTAGATTAAAAATTAATTTGAGACAATCTTTTAAATTAAAAATAATTTTTGAAATTCTCATGCACTTTAGAATTAAAATTATATATAATGAGAAGTATCAATATAAATTTTAATAAATATTTTTTTAAATTTTTATTTTATTATTTAAATTATTAATTTTCTTGTTTAAACAATTAAACGATTTAATTTAATTAATATTCACAATTACTCTCAAAAATACTTTTCAATAAAAAAATGGTCAGATCTCCATATAAGATACGGAGCTAATAAATCGTTTACATATTGAGAGGTATCTTAAGGTGGACAATCTTTTTTTCCTCTAATGGTCAAACTATTTTGCTAAATCTTAAAAAAATGCCAAATAAATAAATAAATAAATTTTATTCAGACCAAAGGGTATACAATATACCACTAAAATGGTTGTGTACAAATAAATGTGGAATTTGAATTATAAAGAGTTTTAGACATTTCAAAGTAAATAAATAGGCACAAGTAGTTACATAAGTTAATTTAGGAGATAATAATTTGCCGGAAATGCTTATCTCCTAAAGCAATTTGCCGGAAATGCTTTAGGAGATAATAGTTTGCCGGAAATGCTTTATTGGAGAGAAAGGGATTGTGGGGGAGGTGGGGTTGAGGGGAGGGGAGGGGGGTTGGGGGGGGGGGGGTTGAGGGGAGAGGAGGGGAGGGGGGAGATATGGATTTTGGTAAATGGAGAGAGGGTGAGGAAAAAAGGCATTGAGAGAGATTTTGCAATATGTATTGCCAGCAAAATAATAATTCTTGCCTCTATATATTTTTCTATTTTTTTATCCATTAAAGGCAAAATTTATTTACCTAGAGTGTTTGCTAATTTATTTACCTAGTGTTTTTTATTTTTCTAAACATTTTTTTTGAATGTATTTATCAAATAATTACCCCTCCAGCGAGTGATTAAGTAAAACAATTATAAGGGGTAATTATATAAGTAGATACTGTAAACAGAGAATATTTAAATTATCAAAATTTAAATTTTAGAAAAATGATTTTATTTAATGAAACAAAGTTTGGATTTATTTTATTTTGTTTTTTAAATTGTTGTAAGTTACATAATTTAATTTATGATAAATTTTTTTTATTTTTAAGTATTATTTGTTGAAATAAAAAGCAATAAAGACAAAACAAAAAATTCAAATTATAATTCATTTAATTTATTGTCGGAAGAAAATAAAAAAGTGGATTATATTGGTAAGTATTACAATTAAATACGGTCAAGTACACCCTTGGGGCTGAATAAATTATATTCTATAATTTACACAAAACCTTTTTGAATATTTTATCTTAACTTTACTCGATCTGACTTATTTGAATTTGTTAAAATTGAAATTTGAAAATAATTATTTTTAAGAAACTCAAGAAAAAACTACAAAATCAACAAAATCCGAACAAAATTTTTGTAAGATTTTAAATTTTTTTGATATTAAAAAATATTTTTTCTAAAAGACAAACCATACAATGGTTCTGAAATGGCAGAAATAATTCAAAATTTACATAAAATAGGTAAAACTTTTAATAAATTATTAATTGGAGTAAAGTAAAACTAAATTTTCAATCTTATTGTTAGGGTAGACATCAAGGTTGTTGGCGACCGGTTATTAACCGGTACCCCCGGTTTTCGGTTAATCTAAATTTTAGAAACTCGGTTTTGAGTTTTAGACAAATACCGGTTTTATTTTGGGAGAATTTTTAATAAAATCACTCATTTTCAAAAATTTCCGGTTTTCGGTTTTTAAAATTTTCTAAAAACGGTTAATTTTTGGCAAAAAATTTCAAAAATTCCGGTTCTAAAACCGGTGCCAACAACCCTAGTAGACATCTTGGTTGGTGTTGGGTGTTTCTGCTCATCACGTACACGTGCTCTACCGACTGAGCTAACACGGCATTGCTTTTTTAATAGATCTTAAAACCCCTACTTCTAGCTTGATCTCTCTTACCCACCCCCTAGAAATTTTTGCGGAGTCCGGGTTCCAGGTTTTTTTCGTGCTCTTTCGATTATTTCCGTACTGGGTTAATAAAAAATCTGACGGGAATTTTTCCTGTATAATGCTACGCTTACATAAAAATCGCGCGCGACACGCGACAGAAAAGATAATGGAAAAAGAGGAGAGAAAAGTCGCCGGCGATTTTGTCGCTTTTTTTGCGTGCTTACATAAAAAGCGACTTCCGCCGGCGACTTGTCGCGCGCGACTTTGTCGCTTTTTTGAGTGCTTACATAAACCGCGACTTCCGCCGGCGACATGTCGCGCGCGATTTTGTCGCTTTTTCGTGTGCTTACATAAAATGCGATTTCCGCCGGCGACATGTCGCCGGCGACACTTTTTTTGATTCAAACATGTTTGAATTTTTGGCGACACTTTTTTGCGACATGCTATTTCTCGATCAATTCTGATCCGATTTTCAAAATTTAAAAAGATTCTGAAAGTTCAGTTTATTCTCTATCGATCAATATAAATTTTATATTTTTAAAGTTAAATCTTGTGGGTTAAAATTGATTTTGAAAAAGGTATACTTTTTGCAAAAAATGTTCTTTTTTTCGATATTTTTGAGATATTCAGTATGCCATCGAGTATTTATATTATAACTTTTTTATCAACGGTCAAAAATTCTGATTTTTTGATATGTTGTAGAGCTTTTGATTCTCTATCAAATGATATCAAAAACATGAAAAAGTGACAATTTCTTGATGAGCAGGGCTCGTCCCATAAAGTTATGGACAAAAAATTTTGGGGAAAATCAAGGCATTTAAGGGATTAAGAGGGTCCATATCCGCGGACCATATCTGTCCATAGCCCGGATACCTTCGATCTCCTGATATTATCCGTATCGATGACCATGCCTGGTTTAAAACATTAAAAAAATAAATTTGCAAATTTAAAATCAAAATCAAAGTTTAAAGATATTTATTTTTGAAAAGAAAATTTTCTCAGTCCCACTTCCTACATGGATTCGAACCCAATCCCTATCAAGATAACTAGATGAGTAAGTAAGTCAACATAACGAAACGATTTTTAAAAAATTTTGTTTCGTTTCGTTTCGTCTGAAAAAATTTTCGAGTTTCGCCCAGGTCTGGTCCGGACCCGTTCCTAACTCTAATATCAATGGAAAAATTAAAAAAAACCCACAATATAAAAGCCACAATAAAATAGTGGCAACGAACTGTCCTATACATTACAGTACTCTGACTTTCACCAACGTGAAAAATAGAGATAAATAAATAAAGAAAATATAGAAGAAAAAGATAGAAAAACTAATAATTTTGTGCTTACATAAAAATCGCGCGCGATTTGCGACGTCGCTAGGCGACATGTCGCCTAGCGACGTCGCTGCTTTGTGCTTACATAAAAATAGCGTTTTGTCGCTTTGCGACAGTCGCTTTTGCGTAAGTCGCCGATTTTATGTAAGCACACAACTAGCGACTGTCGCCGGCGACATGTCGCCTAGCGACTGTCGCGTGTCGCGCGCGATTTTTATGTAAGCGTAGCATAAGCGCAAAATCCAAAATCCCTCGTTTCCGTGTAGATGATTTTACCGAGCACAATTTTTGAGTTAAATGTTTAAAATAAATATTTTTAGATGATCGTAATGACAACGATGATTATCTTCTTTTAGAATTGTTTTCAAAAAATTTAATTAATAAATTAAAAGAAATTTGTGAAAAGAAAAATATACTAGACAATAAAACATATTTTTGTGATAAAATAAATTTAATAAATACTTTAATTGAAGAAGTAAATATTAAGAAAAAAATAATTAAAGATCCAGATTATACTAAATCAATCAGAAAGATTTCTTATGAAATTAGAAATGATTTTCATAAAAAACATGAAATTTGTTTTGGATTAAATAAAAATGAATATGAAGAAATTTTGAATAAAAATGAAAAAATTTTATCTGAAACAAATAAAATTTGGAAGGAAAACGTTACCGTTTATAGTGAAAATAAAGTTAAAAAAATGCAAAAATTAATTAATGTAAATTTTAATTTAAATAGATAATTGGGGAATTCTAGTTTGATGCTTAGAGGCATATTAAAGGGATATTAAATTAAGGGAATATTGAGGGAGTTGAAACGATTAAGGAGATATTAAGGTTCCACATCCGGAACCGAAGTATTCACGAGCTCCTTCATGATGTCGGAAATTGGTATTTAGATATGTAGGACTTCTCCCATTTATAGCGCCGAAGATGAAAATTTTGGAAGGTCAATTCTTCCAGATTTCTTCCCATTTTTGGAACGCCAAATAAGTTTCTTGAAAAGGAATTGCCGTTAGAAGGTGTAAATCGGTGTAAAAAAGGCATTCCATCCCTGATACCAACCTCAATCCTCAAAGACTTAAATCTTTTTATTACAAAAAATAATAAAAACAATTTTAGATGAATTTAGAGAAGGGAATTGAACTTAAAAATAAATTAAAAAATACTTCTTCAAATGATGATTTTAAATTCCCAAAAAATAAAAATTCCAAAAAATATAAAAATAATATTAAAAAACAATTAACTAAACTTGCCTGTGAAGCTACAACAGGAATAATTGGAATTTGTGATTTTGGATTTCCTTTAAATTGTTATTCTCTACGTACAGCTTTGGGAATTTTCTCTGTTGAATTATTTGCTTATTCGATTTTGGATGAGGATTTTGATGAATTTGTTGGAAAATGGCCCTCAAATATTTATTTTTACAATAATGAGGAAATTAAAGAATAAATTTTTGGTTAAGCGATGGAAGTGGTCATTTTGTGAAAAGAAAAAATTTAACGGAATTTTTTTAGCAATTTAGTTATTAATCTTTATTTTTAATTAAAATTTTCTGTCTGAATCCTTGATTTTTAAATTTTCAGAACTAATATTTTTTGTGTTTTTTTCCCAAAAAAAGTATCGTATTTTCTCTAATTGAGCGTATTTTTCAATCCCCTCTTAAAGGGCCGCTCTAATGGATACGGCCGTTCAATTCGAGAAAATACCGTATTCACTTGATCAATTCCCATCCTTTGAATAATTACCCAGTGGAATTAATCGAGTAAATACAGTACGGTATTTCCAAAATTCTTTAAGATGTTAACAGTTAGATAAGGCTTAAATGAGCCCTACTAAGATTTCCCAAAGTAAAGAAAAATAGGGAAAAATTTAGAAATATTTATCACTTTAACAATATTAATTCAAATATATAATTTATTTACATTTATTTAAAGTGCATATTTTATTTATTTATTTTAAAAAATGTGTGGGAGATAAATATAAATATTTTTGTCTGAATACAAAAAACGAAAAGCCACGTTTTAATTAAATTCTCCTAAAGAGAAAAAGTATAAATAAAGCTGTTGAAATTTAATTTAAAAATTATAATTTATTTTTAATTTATCTTTAACAATAAAATTAACAAATTTTAAATATAGAAAAAAATTAATAATGTTTAACAACTTCATCAATTCTTGTAGTATTTTAATTTTAATTTTTACCGACATATTTCTAAGTGTTTATGGTATTTTAATTTAATTAAAATTAAATTATAATTAAATAATTATAAAAAATCAGGTGCTGATGTCACCCCTGCACAGGCGTTAAAATTTGTAAATAGCAAAATGTCAAAATCTAATCAAGTTAACAAAAAGCCACATATAAATACTATGAGTAAGAAGAGTGTGAATGTATATCAGGTTAAAAATAAATTGAATAGACCGGTCCTGTTAGACCGGTCGAAAAGTTGTTGAAAATATCAGAATTACGAAAAACGCTGAAACATGTCAACTAAGTCAGAAATCAAGCTATTTTTTTAAATTAAGATCTGCCAGATTGGATAAAGATGAACGGAGTTATTTAAAATCTGCGTCGGTCTTAAGTAAATTTCCGCCACTGTATGTACCGATAAAATTTGAATATTTTTAAAGTTTCCTAATTTCTATTTAAATTCTAATTTAAATCCTTAACACTCCCCCAACACATGCCTTTGTGGTTGATTTAATTAAACTGAAAAAAAATTAAAGGTGAAAAGCGGCATTTATGCATATGCGTCGGGATTGGCAGTTGATACTGATGGAAGCGATTCAGATCCTGATCCCGACCATCAGGTTGGATTCTTCGTTAGTTAAAGGCATTTGTTAAATTAAACAGGACGAAACTGCGTGGAAGGATTCAAACGGCAAAAGTCTTGGGGCGCATCGGGTTCCATATTATGTGCTCGGTGATAAATGCCATGAAAAGACAAAACCGTGCCCATATTTTTTCTACAAAGAACACAATATTGCTGGATTACAGTTTGCGTTATTCTTTTTCAAAGGAAAGGCGATAGGAGCTTTTTTGGGGACACCCAAGGTAATTTGGGAATTTTGAAAAATAATTTTAAAATCAAAAAGGTGATTCTAAAACTGACACCTCAAACAACGATTCGAGAGAACTCGGAGAAGCCTCAGTCAAAACTGCCCAATTACTCCAAATCAACAGTAGTGGCACAAATGGGGGTGTGGATTCGGGTGTTACTGTGGTTATTTTCTCAGGAAATAATTGGGTGGTGAGAGGAACAAACGATAATCTAAACAGTAAAGCACAATCGCTAGTGAAAAAGGCTCTGAACTTATTGAAATGAAATACGTTATTAATCGAATAGGATATTAATGCTTAGATTTGTAAAAGATTGTTGTTAATCCTGATAAATAAAATATTGTTATATACATATACATATTTCTTTGAATTCTCAATTTACTTTGAAAGTCATTCTGAACTAAATTATGAACAATGAATCCTCGATGGGATAACTGTTTTGAGGGGGTAGGTCGGCATTTCAAGGCTGCTAATCAGAAAAAGGAATAGGTTTATGTTAGAAGTTCAGAACCCAAAATCCGTTGACTCCCTGTGAGACGCGTGCCGCAAATTCGGCTCAACTCGAGGAGCTCTTTCAAATGAGCTATTATTTGATCCCCCTTGGTTTCTGACCATTCGAGCCCTATATTTCGGTTTCTGGCTGTGCATAATTTTGGTTCTCTTTCGAATAAAATGTTTTGTCCATTTTTACTGTAGGCCCGCTTAAGTTTTTCCAATTTCGGTTATCGAGTTCAATATCTAGATATCAATCTCAATTCGTGTACGACATTGCCAGTCTGATCTCTAATTGAAACAGAGAAATTCTTTAGAAAAAATTTAAGAAAATAAACGCTTTTGAACTACATAAATCGAAAAATTCATTCTTTAAATATTTACCAACCTTTAAATAAAAAAAAATTTACGCATTTCCAAAGGAAATGCTTCCAAAAATTAGGGTAAACCCATAAGCGTCCCCCTGCACGGAAATCTTTAGTAAAAGGCGTAAGATTTCTTCGTCCGAATACAAAGGGACCAGGGATTTAAAAACAAAATTATATCAAAAAATATTTAAAATAAACAAAAATTATTATATGTGTTGCTATTTGAAAGACAAATGGATAAATAAAAATATTAACTCTCTCCTAATTTTCTCCGTCTAACTTTACATATTTTTGAACGTTTTTCATTCTGCATTTGTCCTTCTTTTCTTTTTCTTCTTTCCTCTCTTCTTGTTGTACACTCAACCTTGCTGCACTCAACCGTCCTTTAAAATTAATTTTCTTTTCTTCTTTTCTTCTTTTCACTTCTACTATTTTACCTAAATATTTCAAAATGTAAACAAATAAATAATATTTCAAAATATGTACCATCTTTCATGACACTAACAAATTGTCCACAAAGAAAAATTTTTTTAAAATGTCGAGTGATTGGGAAAAAAAATTTATTTTTTGATTTCATTTCAAATTTTCTGAAATTCTAGAAATGTTTTCTTCATTTAAGTCAAAATGGAAAAAATCTCCAGATTTAATAGACAATTTAGAAAGCGGTTTAACTCCAGAAGAGGTGCAAAAAGAAAGGGCAGAATATGTTCAAAATATTGGAATTGAATATAGATATGGGTGTTATGAAGAAAAACAGGTGAAAATATTTTTTGAAAGAAGGTATTTTTTAAAAAAAGGTATTTTTTCCCTCGTATTTTTTAAAAGATTTTTTTATTTTTTTATCCTTGTTTCCTTCCATTTTTGGATTTTTTATTTTTAAATTTTTTTTAAATTTTTAAAAAAGAATTAAAAATTTTAGCCAGAATCTTGTCAACTTCTCGGAGAATATTTCGAAGCTATTGAAAAGAAATATGAAGAGGCTTTTAAACTTTTTGCTGAAAATTGTGAAAAACGAAAATGGCCAAGAAGTTGTTATAAATATGCTACTTATTGTCTTGCTGGGAAAGCAACAGAGCCGAGTTATGAAAAGGTTTTTTTTGGGATTTTTTTTGAGAGGGGAGAGGTTTTTTTGGGAAGTATTTGCTTTTTTAAAATAATTTTTCTTTAATTTTCAGGCCTTTCCTCCTTTAGAAATTGCCTGTAACGGAAATATACCCAAAGCCTGTAAACGACTTTCCCAGCTTTATTGGATGGCCGCTTCTGCTCCAAATAATCAACCAAATACTTCTAAAGCTGTTGAATTAATGAGAAAATCATGTGAATTAGAGGATTATCAATCTTGTTGGACTCTTAGCAATTGGTTTTTTTTAAAGTTTATAATAAAAATTTCTGAATTGAAACTTTTCACTCTAGAAATATCATTTCTCCTATTTTTAAACTTTTTTTCGCATGAACTCCAATTCTCCGTGATTGCCTTTATCTCAACTTTTTTTAATTTTTTCGTTACTAACAATAAGATAAATTTTTCATACAAAAAAAATACAAAAATTTCCTTTTTAATTTAAAATTAATTTTTAAAAGGTATTTGGGCCCAGATGCAAAATTCGCCAAAATAAAAACAAAAAGAGGAATTACACGAGAACCAAATATTGGCGAAACTGGTTCTATCGAAAAAGATGCAAATAAAGCTTTGGAATATGGATTAATTGCTTGTGATAATGGAAATGTTTTGGAGGTTTTTTTTATTTAAAAGTTTTAAATATTGAATGGTTCCTATCGTTTACAAAAATTGGGCGTTTCTATGTGCCGGTTGGGTGATTCCTCTTCACAATCTTGGAAGCCTTTTTTGTCCTATAAATTTTTTATAATAAATTAATCTAACAATAAGTAAAGGATTAATTCTAGGGAAAAATTGTTTTGTTTCAAGATATCAGACCCGTAACTAGGATTTTTTGGGGGCGAAGGGGGGAAATTTTTTTGTGCCGAATTTTTGGTGCTGAAGCGTCAAAATTTTGATTTCTAGCGCCGCAGGCGAAAATTTTTTTAATTTGGACGATCATGGGTGAAAAAATTTTCCCTTTTTTGCTCAATCCCCTCCAAATTTTTCCTTTCCTTATTTCGGGGTGGGGGGGATTCCCCTCTACCCCCTGGTTACGAGTCTGCTAGATATGTCTTATTCTCTTAATTTTTTTAAGAAGACTTAAAAGGAAAAATTAAAAAGTATTTAATGGTTCAACTTTTATCGAAATTTAAATAAATTTACAATTTTAATATTTTCCAGGCCTGTTCAAATGTTGCTAGAATGTATTATATTGGTGATGGTATCCCCAAAGATATTGAAAAGTTTGGAAAAAGGGAATTACTTTTAAATAAAAATTAAATTTTAGAGCAAAACATTACAAAGAAAGAGCAAAAGAATTAAAATTAATGTTGAGAAGAGGATGGACACCTGGACTGACTGGATAATTTTTTTGTTTTAGAAAGTAAGAAATAGGGATTTAATTGTGAATTTTGGTTAAGTTTTTTGTTAAATTATTTTTTGAAAATTTGTTTTTTTTTATTAAAATTTTCTGGTATATCGGCACTTGTAGAAACCCAAACCTAACACCCACACATACCTGACAGGATGGTGGCACAGTTGGTTATGTTTCGGTCTGACCTTCCACGGTGGTTCTATTCCATCACCCTTTCAATGAATAAAAAAACACAAAACTTCCTCATCTTTGAATATCCCAATTATTGTATGCTCAAGTTCAGTAAATTGAGAATATTCACGTTTGGCCCAGTCTTGTTGTAAAGTAGAAGCATAAACTTTAAATCCTTTGGGACATAAATCTACAGCGAGGTTTATGATGAAATTCAGCATTATAGGGACAGGGTAAATATTTTCTCCTTCGTTCAAATGAATACTTTTTACAATTTTCTTTGCCTTCTATCTATTAATTACGAATCAAGAAGGTTCTACTAAAAGGTTCTCTTAAAAACCTCGGGTCCAACTTTGATCCGTGGACCTAGGCTTTTCCAGCATCCTCAGTTTCGTTTTTGTCAAAAAATCTCAACCGCGCGCTACTCTAGTTTAAATAGGGGGAGGGGGGGGCATTTTTACATTATCTGTAGGATATAAAATAGTTTAAATTCTGTTTATTAATCACTTTTTATATAATTATTTGCTGCTTCTTCTTTATTATTATATTCTTTAATTACTTCAATTTGTTCATCAATATATTTAATTATAAAACTATTTACTCTTTCTTCAAATAAAAAATAATCCTCAGTTTTACTAATTCCAAGACAATATCTTGGATTTTCAAAACAATTATCAAATTTTTTAATTGAAAAATTAATTTTAGTTATTAATTCATTTGTGGATATTTTGTAGACTTTCATTGATTTAAATAATTCAATAATTGCTCGAAATGTAATTAATTTGTGTAGTTTTTCAGAAATATTTTTATCTGAAAAAATAATTTATACATACCGTATTTCCTCTAAAATAGCCCCCCTCCAGAGGTCGATCGAAAAAGATAACCCCCGCGGGCTATTTTGGAGGATTTACGGTATTATTATTCAAGACATTTATTTACAGGAGTTTTGCTAGTCTTTTTTAAATTATTTTCCAACCAATATTTGAATTACCGTATATATGTATGTACTCTATTAATTACCCAGGGTAATTGTTGTTTCGACCTCTATCAGTAGAGGGTAATTGATAGAGGTGGGGAGGGTAATTATTTGAGGGAGGGAATTGATAGAGTATATACGGTATTAAAAAAGTTTGAGTTTTTGTATTTCTGGAAGGTATATTTTTACCAATGCTTTGAGCTGCCAGTTTGATCGAACAGCATTTTTTCATTATGAAAAAAATAACGGTCAAATTGAATACCGTAAAGCCTCTAATATGTTTTCTACCCAATCTACCCAATTAAGCAATTTTTAAATACGGTTTTACTGTGAGAATTTTTAACGATTCGTTTCAGTTTTTGTTGAATCCCCCAAATTAACAGCTTCAAAATTGGATGGAATTTTTGGGCGAGTTTAGAATATAAGTGGGAGATTTATGCCCCTTCTTTGCCCATAAATAGTATAAAGTCTACAGAATATACTAAAAACTTTCCCAAAATTTTTTTTCAGAATTTTAAAAATATTTCATTAATTTATTAAACATTTTTGAGTTCAGAACCTTTAAATATAAAATTTAAACCAAGCAATATTTCACTATCAATTTGTTTGCTTAAAAATAAAAATAAATTATCAATTTCTTTGTTTCTCTCAAATAATTCGTTTTTCGTTTCGTCAATATTTTTATTTAAAATTTTTATTAATTTATAAAAATCTTTATTATATTGAAATTGTTCAATTATTTTAACTAAACTCCAATCGACATATGTATTTCTGTAAATTTCATTAATTAAATTATTAATTGTTTTATATAACGAGTCAAATTGTTTAGAATTAATTTTAATTTTAAAACGTCCTGAAAATTAATTTTTTTTTAATTTTTAAAAAAAAAAAGATTAATTTTAGTCTTAATTTTGAATCCGTTATGTTAAATTCTCAGAATGTTCCGAATTTTTTTAATGTCAGTTTTTGCCTTTTGTTTTTTGATCTTCTAATAGGTACAATGGACTCTGATAGTTAAAAATATCCCTAAATTTTGGGAATCGTAAATTAGTTAGGCGAGGTAAGAGTATCAGGGATTGTGCCGACAAAAAAATTAAATTCGCAAGGAATCGGGCCTGCCAAATCACTGATTACCTCATAAAATGTCTTAGGCTCCAAAACCCCATTAAACTTTTAAATTATATTTACAATAACTTAATAATCGTTAATTCCTCCATTTAAAATAATTTTTTAAACAAAAAATAATTTAATATAAAAATTTCCCAACCTTCTTTCACAAGTTTTTGGCCAATTAATTCAATATTTCTAATTATTTCATAAAATTTTTCATTATAATAATATTCATTTTTTTCTTCCTCAAATTTTAATTTATAACCTAACAAATTTAATTCCAAAAAATTATTTTCATTAAATATTTTTTTATAAAAATTAATTTTATTTTCAATTTCTATTTTTTCATTATCTTTTAAAAAATTATTTTTGTTTGCATTTAATATTGAAAAAATATATTTATTATTTTTGATATTTGTTGCTTCGGTTAATTTACGTTGAATAATTATCTTTAAAAAAGAATTTTTATTTAATTTAAAGTTAAATTAGGAGTTGACACAAATGATTATTAATTATTAACCTTTGATTTTCGGTTCTAGTTCGGTTAGACGTTTTTAAACGTTTTAGAGAATATAATATTTACATATTTTATCATTACTTTCTTTTCTACATTTATTCTCTGGCCGCCTTTAAATGAAAGGAAATAGTTCCTTAAACTAACCCTTTTAATTCTATACTTCATTTAAAGTCTGATATCTTGTCTAAAAATCTCCATTTCGAGGTTTTTCTAGATATCGATCTCAAATAGGTTTAATAAGATCCTGGAGAATTCACAGATCATCGATTCTCCCAACCCTACCCTCTAATATCAATTAATCTTCAACTCCATCATCTAATTATATATTTACCCTCTTATTTATTTAATTTCAATTTTTAATTTTAAAAAATCTTACAAAATCATCCAAATAATTAACAAATTTTTTAATTAAAGAATTTTGTGGTATTTGAATATTTAATTCAAATAAATCATCTTTTGTAATATTTAATCCTTCAATTTTATAAAGGGAACGATATTGAACCCCTTTACATAAATATTCTTTTTCTCCTCCAAATTTAATTAATTTACAATTAAATTGTTTTGGAAGCTTTGAATTAATTAAATAATTAAATGCTCTTGTTTTTTCCCAATCTTTTTCAATTTCAAAATAAATAATATTATTATTACAAAAAATTAATTTAATAATAAATAATTTAATAAAAATTAAATAAATAAAAATATTCTTTTGTTTCATCTAAAAATAAATATTTTCATTGAAGAGAGCTCTCACCTCCTCCATATCAGAGGTGGGTCGAAACAGTCAGAGGTGTTGGAAATCGGAAGAGCCGGAAATCGGAACTGGCTCAAAAGTCGGAAATAAAATTTTTTTCGGAAATCGGAAACCGAAAGGAAAAAACGTCGGAAATCGGAATTCCGACACACCTCTGCTTCATATGTAATGTATTATAAAAATATTTGTCTGGATGGGGGGGGGGGGGGGGCAATTCTAAAGTGTAGTACTCACTGAAAACCCAATAAAAATGATAATCCTTTTTTGAACCAATATAAATTCTGGGTGCCGAATAGCAAAATACCTAATTATACCAAAATACCCAATTCAAATAAAAAAAATATTTTTTCATTGTCATTTTCCCATTGTTCAAACTTTAAAAAAACAATTTTTTACTCGAATTAATTTATGAAATTTAAAAATAATTTATTAAAAATATTGTCTAAAATCCGTCAAAAAAATTAATTTTTTCGTTTATTTTGAAATGATGCGGCAAAAGTGTTTATTATAAAAAATCTAAAGTGCATGTTAAGCAATAAAGAATTGCCGCTTAAAAAATAAAATAATTTAATTAATTAAATCCGACTTTCTTAATACGTGTCGACATACAGACTTGCCCTTTTTATTTATCTCCCCTCTCCCTTCTCCCCCCCCCCTCCCTTTCCCCTTTAAAAAATTATTTTAAAGAATAAAGTATTTCTAAATACTATCTAATCAGTAGGGCTCGGATTTATATTTAAATAGGGCACAAAAACGACCTTGGTCATGAACAAGCCTTGACTGACCGGTGTCTGACTATTGAGTTCTGGAAGAAGAAAGACAGAAATGACCGGTGATAGATGTAATAAAAAAATGGAGAGACAGTGGTCAGTTCGCGGGCAGGGCCGCTTCAGTGATTTATTTAAATATAAATCCGAGCCCTACTAATCAGTGATGACCTTATTGTTTAGTTGCCCTAAAATGTTCTCATTAGGGAATTAAAAGGGCAAATTCGACGTTAATAACACAGCATTGGACTGGCTAGAGGGAGCATCTGCTACATATATTTTGTTGGAATTCTTGGGAAAACTTATTGGAAATAAATTATAAATAATTAAGGTAACTTCCCATCAAGAAAGGAGTTTTCAAGTCGATTCGATGTTAGAAGCAATTTTTCCTATGAAATTTTTTTCCTCGCGCTATATAGGCAATCTCGGCATAATACCTATTAAAATTGGCTAAATTTTATGCTATAATTAATTAAAATACAAATTTTCTAAATTTATTTTTAGTTATTTTTAAATGACAAATTTTAATAAAAACCAAATTAACAATTTATTTTCTCTAATAATTTATTTTTTAAATTATTATTACACTAATTCAATTGAAATTTTAATTTCAAATGATTGGAAAGAAAGTAGAGAATTTATTTATTTATTAGAAAATGTTGAAAAAATGAGAGAAATAATTGAATGTAAAATAATATTAAATAATGAAGGAGAAGAATTTAATAATTGTTTTTTTGATAAAATAAATAATGAGGGTATAATTTATTTTAAATTAATTAAAAATGGAGAAGAAGAAGGAGAAAATAATGATAATTGTTTTTCTTTGGATTTAAAATTGGGAAATTTTTTAAATTTAAAATTTAAAAATAAAGAAGACGATAATTTAATTGATAAAGAAAATAATAATAACGAGAATATTATTTTATTAAATTTTAATATTTTAAATGAACAATTGAAGTCTGTAATACCTTTTATGGATAAACAGGTTTTTATTTGGGGGTTTTTAAAGGAAGGGGAGTGGGGAGGGAGCAGAGTTGTGATTACGAATTACGGCGTTTTTTGAGTTATGAATTACGATTACGAAAATAAAAATAAAATTTATGAAAAAATATTATTGTTGAATAAAATAAAAAAGGGGAATGAACAAGCTGAAACAATACAAAATTTCGGTCAACTATAATCCCAATAAAATTAAAACTTGTTACCCCAACTCTTAAAAAAATTTTTAAATTAAATAACTCTAAACCGGCTACTTTTGGTTGATATTTTTTAATTTTTAAAGATTATTCAACGTAAAATACAAAAAGGAAAAGAAATTTATAAATTATCTTTTTTGGAAAATATTGAAGAAAAAAATAAAGAATTTAAAAATAAAGGGATTGAATTATTATTAATTGAAAATAAAAATATTGATAAAATTAAAATAATTGAAGAAAAAATTAATTTTTATAAAAATTTGTTAGAAAAATCGTTTTGGAAAGAATTAAATTTATTAGCTTATAATAAATTAATTTTAAAGAAAAAATTGGAAATTTATAGTAATATTAATTTTGCTTATTATTTGGAAGCAATTTTAGAAAAAATTAATAAAGTAAAGAAAAATATTAAAAAAGCTTATAAACCTTTAATTAAAAATGGTAATAAATAAATTATTTTATTTAAAAGCTGGCTTAGTAATGGATACGGATACTATCCGGATATCCGGATACAGACGGATATGGATACTGTTTTTTTTAAATCGGATGGATACGGATATGTATGTATGATCCCAGCCTGCCTGAAAGAATATTTTTTGGGAGATAGTTAGAACTTTTGATAAAATTAAAATTTAAGTTGAAATTGTAATTAAAATTGACTTTAGGTCAAAAAATATTTTGAGTGAACATTTTGAGTCAATTCTGATGAACATAATCGAATCCAACTCCTCATAGGGTCTCAATCTCGTTCTTTGAAAATTATTTTCTGTGGGTTAGGAAAAACTTTTTTTTAATTTTGATAAAACAAAAGCAAGTTTAAAATAGACAAAAATAAAATAGGAAAATTAATAAATTAGACCCTTTAGAAATTTAATAGAGAAATTGTTACTGAAACAAAAGTTGGCCAGTTCCTACATTTCTGAATTTTTTTGTATAGGAAAAAATTAATATCTAGATCAGGGTTGCCGCGGAAACCCGATACCCGAAAAGAAAATTTTCCAACACGAAACCCGTGACCCGAAATGGAAACGCTCCAACACGATACCCGTACCCGAAGATTTTTTGTACCCGCGGCAACCCTGATCTTGAGTCGCCTTTACTAAAAACAAATAAAAAAAGCTTATCAACTTCAATTTAATTTTATCAAAAGTTAAAATATTAGAGTATTTTTAATAGAGTTCGAACCCGGGCCGGGCCCGGACCGGTTTTTTCCGGGCCCGGTGGCCCGGAACCGGGTATTTTTGAGAAAATCCGGTTTTTCCGGGCTAACCGGTTTTTCCGGTTTTATCCAGAAAAACCGGCCCGGGTGCGATTTTGAGTAAAAAAACCGGGTCCCGGGCCCGGTAATTTTTTGCCGGGCCCGGAGAGTCGCCTCCGGCGGTGAAAAAGGAAGAAATCTGGCCTCTTGGCCTTTCGAAATTCTCAAAATTTTCGCCTGCGGCAGTAAAAAAGGAAAAAAATCCGACTCGTTGGCTTTTCAAAATTCTCAAAATTTTCGCCTGCGGCGCTTGAAAAGAAAAGGGATTTTTATTGTTATCGGGGGATTAACTCAAATTCTCTCGATATCCCTATTAATCACCATCAGTGGATTTAAGTTAAATTCGGATTTGAACAGGAAATCGGAGGATTAAGGGGGATAATATTATATTTGGAATTACTATGAACCCTTCAAATTCATAATTTTCTATATCCCTCCAAATCACTGATATCACATGGAGGCTTCCCTTCTCAAATACTTCAAAACCACTTATTTTCCCAGACTACAAATTATTTCAAAAATTGCGGATTAAGGACTTCGGATTTTTAAAATAAAATTGCGGCTGCGGAAAATTTTTTTCACTTGCGGACACCCCTGCTATATATCCTTCAGCGCATCTATCCTTTGATTCAGCTATCCTTTAATCGATCCTTTGTATGTTTTCCGATCCTTTGTATGTGTGATAATTTTTTTATGTTTTTAATAAATTTAGAAAAAACCGGGTCCGGGCCCGGGTCTGAAAAAATCCGGTTTTTCCGGGCTAACCGGTTTTTCCGGTTTTATCCGGAAAAACCGGTCCGGGTGTGATTTTGAGAAAAAAAACCGGGTCCCGGGCCCGGCATTTTGAAAAGTTCGAACTCTAATTTTTAAAATGAAATTATTTAATAGATAAATATATAATTTCCATCAAAAAATCAAAAATTAACCAAATACACGAAAAAATAAAAAATATTATTGTAAAAGTTTGTATAAATTTAATTATAAGAAAAAAACATAAAGGAGGCTTTAATGATAGTTTTACTAAATTTTTTGGAGATTATAAAACAATAAGGAATTTTGAAAAAATTATTGGATTAAATAATAGAAATGGGGGAGAATTGGAGGAATTAAATGAATTAATTAAATTTATTAAGAATAAGATTAAGGAAATTGTGAATGAAATTGGAGATAAAAAAATTGGTAATTTTTAATTTAAGATTAATTTTAATTTAATTCGGTTATACTTCATTAAAATATAGTTTTTATCGAATTTACTAATTTGTCATTTATTTAAAGTTAGATTATAGTCAAGAATTAACAATATATTGGGTGTTGTTGGTTAACAGGCAGAGGTGGGCGGAATTCCGATTTCCGAAAAAAATTTTGATTTCCGAGTTCCGAGAGCCATTTCTGATTTCCGACAGTTCCGAGTACCGACACCTCTAACTGTTCCGACCCACCTCTGTTAACAAGGAGTTTCAGTTTACATGGCTCGTTGCAAACTTTTTATTTTTTCACGTGGTTAACTAGGCGTGGAAGATTGGAGATTTTTAGTTCCCCAGTCCTATTCAAATTTTTCGGTCCCGTTGAAGACTAGTACTGGATAAGGGGGGATTTAAAGGAGGTAAAGAGGGACTAGAAGTGAGTAAGGGGGATATCGATGGATTTGAAGATTTTAATGGGGATCCTAATCCCATTTAATCCCTCTAGATCCACACGATATCCCATTAATCCCTACAAGTCTCATTTTTCCCCTTTAATCCCTCAGACCCATCGATTAAGCTTGTAAAGAAATAAAAAGCAAAAAATTGTGTTGATCCATAAGTTGACTTCAGGGTAAATAGATCTTCAGGGTGTAGGTCTTCAGGGTCAGTAGGTCTTGGGGGTGTAGGTCTTCAGGGGTGGACTCCTAGATAAAATTTGAAATAAAGTAAAAAATAAAATTTCATTTAAAATTTTAGGTGAAACATTTAAAGAATTTAAATATAAAACTTTAATTTTAATAATGTTCCGTTTATTTATTGAAATATTTAAATTCTTTCAAAATATTTGTGAGGAAGAATTTAAAATAAGTAAAGAAATTACAAATATTTTAATTAAAGCTTTTGAAGGATGTTATAAAACACCTAGTTTTTGTTATTCAATTGATATAATTAATCCAAAATATTTGGAATTTAAAAGTAAAGTTGAAGAACTTGTAGCTAAATATATTGAAGACAAAATTGTGATTAATGTTAGCTTATAATTAAAAGGGATTTCTTGTAGTAAAATATTAATTCAAACAATTTTTAATTAAAAATCATTCTATCCAGGCAAATTTAAACAAAACTATTTCATCAAAAAAATTATCAGAATAATTGCAATCAGTAATAGAGAATTTTTTTGTAGTTCAAAAATTAAAATACAAGAATATTTTATTAATTTTAAATTAGTAGATAGTTTTAAAATAAAATTAAGAACTCCAATTTTTATATTCTAAATAACTAGAAAATATTATATAAATAATTGATAAAAATTGAATTGGAAATTTTTTTAAATTTCAAAAATAATAATTTAATTCCGAATATAATTTTTTAAATTAGTTTTTCATTCCTTTTTAATCGTTCACTTTATTTGGATTAAATATTTCAATCCAATAACCATCAGGATCTTCAATAAAAGCCAATCCCTTCATTTTCCCGTCATCAGGTTTTTTAACAAATTTAACTCCAAGTTTTTCAAAACGGGCACTTGCTGCATAAACATCTGGCACAGCAATCCCGATATGTCCTTTAAATAATTGTGTAATTTTAAATGAATAACCCTTAAAATTTTCTGTAAATTAAAAAAAGCTAATGAGTATAACGGGAGAAACTTTATACCATAATCGTTAAAATAAAGTTTAGCCAAGGACAGGCATCCGCGGCCTTCCAACAGTAATTGCTAGGAACTTTTTAAGTGAATTACTGCTCTCTCAAATCCCAAATTACTAGAACTTTTGGAAAAATTAAATTTTAATTATTCTTCCTTACTAAGTTAACCGAAACCACGAGGCTCATAAACCCTCGCCGAATCGTCTTAAATGTTAGCCACCGCAATCTTTACTTCATTAAAATACAATTAACCAAATTAAAAAGAATAAAAAATCAAGGTTATCTGGTATTTAAATTCAAGGATCGATTTTGTAAAAATGATTCCTAAAGTATACTAGGATTCCATTACCTAAACACCCGTCTAACCCAAAAAGAAACTTTATAAAACTGACCAAAACCTCGAGGTTCTTTATTTCCATTATGATATGCAAAGTTTGGATCCTTTTCAGATCCCCAATTACTAAAATATTTTTGAAAAAATAAAATAATTAATTATTTTCCCTTACTAAGTCAATTCAATTGTTGAATGAGTAGAAAGAGCAAAATAACGACGCTCTTTGTCATCCTTTGGCAATTCACTTAATTCTTTATATCCCATAAAGAAAAGTGAAAATTCCATTTCAGGAAAGTCTAATTGTTTTAAAAGCCTGAAAAAAGGGGGGTGTAAATTTTTATATATCACAAATATGAGGAAGGAATTATAAGTGAACAGGAAGGAAAAAAAGAGGTCTCCCGCCCTTCAAACTAGTAGTCCATCAAACCTCAGAAAAACCGGCGATACAACAATTGTGGATATAAAATTAAAAATTTAAAATATCTATTAAAATTTTCTGCGCTGCATCAAGTTAGAAAACTCAGAAAATTCAGATTCAGAAATGTCAATTCAGAAAACGTTAGGAAATCGGCACTACAAAAAAGGGCCTCTCAATCAGCTCAATGATTTTCTTAAATTTTATATCCGAAATTGTCAACAGCTATTGCATCAGAAATAAATCTAACACCAAAACAGTATTTGGTCCTTTCGCGTATATTTTAATTAAAATAAATTTTAAAAGAATCACCTCATTCCAAGAACATTTGTGTAAAAAGGAATGCTAACTAACGGATCTTTAATTCTATACATTGTTTGTTGGAAATAAAATCCTTTTGTAGCTTCATCCGGCTCTTTAATTAGTTTCTCAATCTAAAATTTAAAAAGATTTTATTTTTATAATTAAAACAATTATCTTCATTTCTCGAGTAAACATCACTTGATCGGTTAGACTACCCCCAACCCTACTTATTAGAATTACCCTGGTTCGATGCCCAATGGTTGCATACTAATTAAATATTTAATTTTTAAATTACCTCTTCAGCAGGTATAGCCTTCTTATCTGTTTTTAATTCAGAACTTGCCATATTTTTTCTTTAAATATTGAAAATAATTGAAAAATAAATTATTTAAAAATATTATTTCTCGAATTAAGGATTTTAAATTACATATTTAAATTTATATAAAAATTAGAGCCTAGAAATTAATATTTATTTGACATTATTTTAAAGAAAAATTCAAAACAATTGTATTTTTAATGTCCAGAATTTAATAAAAATTCTTTTTCAGTTTTGCCTTCTTAAAAATAATTTAAAGGCTCTAATTTTTATTTTTTAAAAGAACACAAAAATACTTTTCCAATCATTTTATTTATTTATTTGTCCAATTTTAGTCACAATATTGATTATTCTTTTTTAAAATGTAAACAATTCTTTATTTATTGTTAGATAAAAAAATAATCTTTACTCCACAAAATATTTGAGAAGAGAGAATTTCTTTTTAAAATTTATTTTGTGGAGCTAAAATCACAAAAAATCAACTTTTCCTTTTACTTCTCCTTCTAAATATAAATATAAAAAAGATAGTCTATATATTTAATTATTAACGTAAAAATAATAATACAAATCCACACACATTTGGTTTTTAATGGTAGTTTTTACTTTTGATTATTGACGTCCTTTGGTTAACTGAAAAAAGTTTTTTTAATAAATTTGAAAACTTAATTAATACAAGAAATTCTTTTAAATAATTATAAGAAATTATCGCAACAATATTTTTTCTATATTTCTCGAAAGATATCGACCGACCCCTCCGTTCGGGCTCTAAAGTGTATCGACTCTTCCTATACCTTTAGTCAAGGAAAGATTAGAGCTAGAGACCGGACCGATACGATAACGATGTCGATATTATCGATCGATAAATTTTTTAAGTTTTTCGATATTTTTCGAGACCGATACCGATATTATCGATCGATCACTCAAGTCCGGTCTCTAATTAGAGCTATTTTTACCAAGTTAAATTTTTATTTTTTTTTGGAAAGAACCAAGGAACAAGATTACCTCAAACAACTTGGATAGGAAACAGAGAAATTTAACTTTCCTTATTTCTACTTTCTATCAAAAAAATTTAAAAACAAACTTAATTAGCTACTGCTATAATTATTATTACTTCCACCGCTGCTACTTCCCTTTTTGCGTCGTTGTTTATTTTTCTTTTTACCGCCACCTTCATTTGTTGAATTTTGAAGTTTTTGAGGTAATTGTTTGGCTAATCCACCATTTTGCTGAATTGAAAGGGCAGAAATGGCAGCAGTAGCTTCAAGACGCTCACGCTCTTCCACCTTAAAACAAATTTTTTAAAACAAAGAAACAAGAAATTTGTAAGGAAATTGAGTGCCGCGATCCTTTATCTTAAGTCAAGGAAGATTCATTTTAGATGAAAAATTAAAGAAAAATTCTTTGATCTCGATTCTGACAATGATTCAGTAAAATGAACAATGGCGTAGTCAGGGGGTCGATTAAAGGGGTTCACTTTCCCCATTTCAGGGAGAGGGGAGCTATAGCCCCAGAAACCCACCCTGTCTACGCCCTTGAAAATGGATATAAAAAACAAACCCCTAAAAACATAAAATGAAATTCACTTAATAAAAATATTTTACTCAATTATTTAAAATAATTTAAAAACCTGTTCACGAAATTGCAAAGCAATATCTCGAATTTTGAGCACAATTCGGTTATAAGCCTCGGGTCCACGATATTTGAAAATATTAAATAAGCGAGCCTTCACAACAAGAAGCCAAAATTCATCTTTAAAATTAGAAAAATTTAAAGATCATTTACCAGGCGGATGCGACATTCACAAATAGGGAAGACGAAAATTTTGGGCGAAATACTATGAGAAATAGTATAAGAATTGTAATAAAAAAATTCAATAGTAAGAGAAAACGAAGTCTGGTAAAAACTAATTGAAGGACAAATAAAAAGATTGGTGATCATAAAATTTAAACGAAAAGCTGTCAATGATCAATTACAAAATATTCTATAACTGACGTAGGATTTTAGAATAAAAGTTGAAAAAGGTTAAACGGTCTCAAAAAATAAACAAAATAAAATAATTATAAAAAAATTCGCAAACCAAAATCTTCAGGAAAATTTGGGATTCCCATTTGTTTTTGGCACTCAAAAAATTCCCTCAGTTTTGGCATTGAAAAATCAGCCCGAAAAACTTCCTCTTCAGTGGGAGCAGAAACACCAGAATGTTGACTAAGCATCATTGCAGCAGCTTAAAAAATAACTTTAAAGATTAAAAAATAAATTAAAAATGACCTGATCCAATTAATCCTAAACCTTCGGCCGCGCTAGCAGCTCTCGGATTTTCAGTAATTTCAAACCCTGGTGAAGCTAGAAAATAAAAGAAATTTATTTTTAAAAATAATTGGTACCTTTCCGTTATCTCCCCCATTTTCCTTTTTTATCCTTTCAAAATGGTCAAAGTTCAAAAAGGATTAAATTAATTTAAAAAGGCAGTAAATAAAGAAAAGCGTTCATGTTGGACTTGTTTTTTAAATTTGATTTCAGGCAATATTCGAGTCGGAAATTAGAGAAGTCAGATTCTGTTTGTTACCGTCCGCTTCATCTACTCATGGTTCTCTGAAAAAATCACGTTCAAAATTATTTTTTACTTTGATAAGTTTTATTTGGTTTTCATATTCTTCTTGCCCGACCATTATTTGCTTTTGACCATTTTGAACCCAAAAAAAGGAAGGAAAAGATATGGAGAAGGAAAGGAAAATGAGGATAGATAACGGAAAAGTACCAATAATTTAATATTCCAACCTCCAGCTTCACTACTTCCTCCACCCTCTTGTTGCTGCAACATTGTATTTTGATAAGCAGCCATTCTCCACCAATTTTCAGCCATACAGACCTTTAAATTAAAAATTTAATTATAATTTCCTTTAAATAAAAAATACTTCGCATTGAACACATTCACAAGGAGTTCCCCCATTTTCTAAATTCAACGCTTGAAGATGTTCACCACCAAGTCCCTCATTATTTCCATTACAGCCACTTCCCTCTCCAATTCCATTAACGTGAGTGTTATTTGACATTCCAGAACCCTCCAAAATATAATCATCCTCCTCTGTTTCAGCTTTGGAATCATTAAAACATGCTGTACCTGCAGTACCTTCACCTCCTTAAAAATAAAAAGTTCATTGATTAATTCGTAACATTTTTGAGAGCATTTCAGAGGCTTTAAAGAAATTCTAGAACAGTCGTGAAAATCGTGTCACGACACTTGCAGATATGACATTTGCAGACCCGACACTTGCAGACCCGACTTTTGCAGACCCGACATTTGCAGATGCCGACACTTGCAGATATGACACTTGCAGATCAGACATTTGCAGATCCGACTTTTGCAGATTAGACCCATTTCGCTCTCTTCTTTACCTTATCTATAAACCGTGGAGTGATTGCTGCTGCGGAGGAATCCTGGGATGCCCATCTCATCAATGATAGGAATAGGATCATGTTACGAGCCCAGAGCCCAGCGACCGTTGACTCCCCGCGAGGCGCGTGCCGCAAAACCCCGCGCGAAGCGCGGGGTTTTGCACAAGCGCCTCGCCGGCGCTCCATAGGTCTACGTTGAACATTTTGAACCTCCGGAAAAAAGAGTATGGGTCTTATATCAAAAACTTTGCACCGGTATATTATACTATATCCTTTAATTTTTGAAGATTTTTAAATTTTTAAAAAATTTTTTTTTCAAAAATTAATATCTGCAAAAGTCGGATCTGCAAATGTCTGATCTGCAAGTGTCATATCTGCAAGTGTCGTTATCTGCAAATGTCGATCTGCAAAAGTCGTCTGCAAATGTCGGGTCTGCAAATGTCATATCTGCAAGTGTCGTATGACCGTGAAAATAAGACACGAGCGGAAATTTAATTAGAGATGGAATTCAAGAACTCGCAGATTAGCTATACCCCAAGAAAGACTTTGTAAAGGACGGTGTGCGGACATATCGGGATGGAGGTAATCCTGCAGAATCTGGGATCCACTTTTAAAAACCTTAAAAATCATTATTTTTTTCTAAAAATCATTTTATTTAGGTAATCGACCATGCTGAGTCCGAATCTGAGCTTAGAATTTGTTTATTTTTAACCCCGGACCTGAATTCGACCAAGTCGAATAGAGGGGTAAAATTTCGAAATTTAAAATTTAGGGCTAATCTGACTCAACCTTTCGAGCTGAGTCGAATGCCACCGAAATCATCGCGATCCGACCCCATAGGGCCGAGTTATAGACCCCCGAACTTAGAAAATTTTTGGGGTCAAAAAATTCGAATATACAAATGATAGCTCATTCGAAAGGGCTCGACAAGCTGAGTTGAATGACACCAAAATCAGCTTGATTGAATGATTCTGAACTAAGTTATGACCAACGGAATCTTCGCTGGAAAAACTGTGGGCATATACTAAAGCGACCTAAAATCAAGCATATGATAAAAAATCATAGATAAAATGTCATATTTGACAAAATCTGATATCAGATTCGGACTCAGCATGGTCGATTACCTAAATAAAATGATTTTCAGAAAAAAATAATGATTTTTAAGGTTTTTAAAAGTGGATCCCAGATTCTGCAGGATTACCGGGATGGACATATCGGGATTGGGGTGACAAAAATAATTTCTTGCGTGTTTACGTTTGCTCTAAAACATAAAAACTCTATTCCACAATATACTATTCAAGACCCAGTAGCCGTAGGTCCCGAAATCAGTAGGGTAACTGTTCGTACATTGAAATATCCCGCTATGTCCGCGTGCCGTAGAGCAAATCATTAAAATAAATGTTTAATTAGCATTAAAACTAGAGGAACGTAAAATGACCCCAAAAACAAATAGGCCCCACAAAAATAAGAAAAGAAAAGGAGACATAAATAATTTAATCACCCAACCAAATTTAAATAAATTTATCTAAAAAACCTGTTCCATCACCAATATTGTTATTTTCAGAATCACCTTTCCCATCAATTACTCCATTACTTTCATCAGAAGAGACAGGAGCTGAGCAAGACGATGAAAGAATGGTTGAACAATCCCCTCCACTTTCATCAGACTTGCGCTTTTGCTTTTTAAGATTTCCTTCTTTCGTTTTATTTGAAGAACTTCCAGTTGAAGATGAAGAGGAAAATGATGTGTCATTCTAGAATTTAATTAAAATATAAGGGATTTTTTGTAAGAAATGTAACGAATATTTTGATTTTATTGGAGGGTGCTTCAGAAAAGAAACTTTACTTTTTTGGATTTAATAAAAAATCTTCGGTCCCAAAAAATTTTTAATGGCTACAAAATAAAATCAGAGGTAGTATTGAACCGGACAGACCCTCTTTTTTCCTATCCAATTTTCCCCTATATTTTTGCAAAAATGGTCAGAATTTTTCCTTTCTTCCATCCAAATTGCCTTTCTAATTTTTGCCTACAATCAAACAAAAAGGATCATTTAATTTTATACAAGTGCAAGGGATTATTTTTTGGTATTTAACAAGTATAAGGATGGAAGGAAGGAAAAAGTCTGACCATTTTTGCAAAAATATGGGGGAAAATCGGGGAGGAAAAAAAGGGGGGTCTGTCCGGTTCAATATTTCGAAATCAGATTTCCAATTTCAATAATGGCATGCCTATTGTAGATTTTTGATGAAATTTAACTTACAAAGAAATTATGGAAAAAAAGTATAGCTAGAAAGCTCTAGCTCATAATCAAAGATATTTATTCTAAAAAAAGGAAACTCCTATTACTAGATAATTTCCACCCCAATTAAGTGCTAAAAAAATGTAAAAACCTTTTGTTCTTCAACTTTGTCAGAATTATTAATTTGCGCTCCTTTCAAGTTATCTTCAGTTTTATTATCCATTAATATAAATTTAAGTAAGTCACCTACAAATAAATAAATTATTTTAATTTTTATCAAAATCTTTTAAGTTCTTGTAGAAATAAGATTAAAATAACTAAACATCAATAAATAAAAATTAACACTTAATTAAAGAAACGAGACGTTTGAGTACCGCCTGTTGAGACCTTTTGTAATTTATTAGGCTGTAAACTTTTGTTTATTGATCTGATCAGACTAGAAAAATAATTCCTAATCAAGAGCTTTTGATTGACATATTAATTATCTGGGTACGGGGGATCGACTCAGAGCCACCGATTCAGAGTACGGGGAAAAGGGGGCGATTCAGAGTACGGGGAAAAGGGGGCGATTCAGAGTACGGGGAAAAGGGGGCGATTCAGAGTACGGGGAAAAGGGGGCGATTCAGAGTACGGGGAAAAGGGGGCGATTCAGAGTACGGGGAAAAGGGGGCGATTCAGAGTACGGGGAAAAGGGGGCGATTCAGAGTACGGGGAAAAGGGGCGGGCGATTCAGAGTACGAACAATAAAATATTCTAGAAATCGAGATTTTTGGAATGCAATTGATTTATTATTTTTGTTTCCTTTTATTGTTTTAGAGAGATAAACAACAATTTGCACAATCGAAGACAATTATTCAATGCCACAAAATAATTTTTAATAAAAATTTAAAATTTTTAAAATTTTCTTTAATTTTTCGGTTTTGTTTAGTAAAATGATGAAATGGTGTTATTATGTTACAATGGCATAAATAATCTGTAAAGAAACAGATGAAAACAATTAATTGACTTGAAATATGTCAAAAAGTCAGCAAGACTCTTTTGTCTTTACATTTATTTTCAGTCTCAGCACAAACCTAAACCTTTAGGCTTGCTTGTCAATAGAGTCTCGGCGACTTAGCATCGAAACGCCTTTTTCTATGCCACAACTTTTTTCATTTCGATCATTTCCAGAAAATTTTCTTTATCAATTAGAATCTATATTTGTTTTTATTCTTTTTATTTACTTTATGAAAGGATCCGATCATTTCTTAGAAAGTTACACCCGCCTAAGTATGTTAAATCACGATTATTCGCAGTTAACGGCTCCTAACTTTTTTGAAAGACGGTAAAACTAAACAATTTCTTTGAAAAAATAACCAGCACATCCAGAGCTTTTAATTAAAGCAAAAATTATTTGGATTGAATCAAAAACAAAAAAGTTATATCCCAAAAACTTTCGTTTTGATGCCATATTTTAAGACTCTTTCGTTACCTGGTTACTTTTAGCCTAAACCTTTTGAAGCCTAAACCTTTAGGTTTTTGAACATTTGAGTCTCACCACGTCTTCAATTTTTTTTTTAATTCTAGCTTTTTTAATCGTTTGTTCTTCTTAATTAGTGTATAAAGATGAACCAGAACTGATATTCTGGTAATAGAAATCCCATAAATTAAGAATCACATAGATAATTTTTGAATTTAATGAATTCCTGAATTTAATGAATTCCTGGATGGAATAGAAGCGATGTTGGAATTTCGTCAACAACAGCCTCAACCCAAACGGTCCTCTTTAGGGCCACAAATTTAATAAGTGAGATGAGGACAATGACTTTTATTTTTTGATAAATTTGTTTATTTGACTCTTTTTTTTACAAAATTCGTTCCATGAAGAAAAAAAAATCGAGACCAAGATCCTTTGATCTTTGCGCTAATACATATTATATGGTGTAGGGGGTGCGCCTGAAACGCAGAAAGAGGAAAAGGCTTCTTGGCATTTCAAAATTTTCAAAATTATGTGGTGCTTCCGGCAGTAAAAAATGAAAGCATCTTTGTCTTCCAATGAGACATCTGAAGCACTTGGCGTAGAAAAGGGATTTCCATCGAAGAAGTCGGGGTTTGGAAAATTTCATGGGTTTTAATTTAAATATGTAAATTATTAAAAATAAAAATAATAAATTTATAAATTGCATTAAGTTAAAGTAAATGCATTGCAAAATATGGCAAGACTGCTTTTATGTGGTTAAGAAGAGATTGTGATTAACTTTTATTTAAAAATATTTTAATTAAATTTTCTGACAAAAGTTAATCACAACTTTTTAATTTTAAATTATTAAAGTTCGAGCAAGTAGTCAAGAAGAATAGATTTCTCCTTCCTTTCTCCCTCTCTTTTTTTCACTCTAAAACTCCAAAAATTAATTATTAAAAAAAATTTTTTTTTAATTTTTGTTTCAAAATTAAATCAAAATTAATTAATTATTCAACCATTTATTTACTAAAAATTCCTTTTCCTGACTACACGCCTGAATAAGGCACAAATAATGTATTTAATGTGGTGGTATTTTTAGTGGTAAAAAATAAAGCAAAAAATTCTTTTAATTCTTTAAATCCCTTCCCTTCAATCATCTTCAACACTATCTACCTCTTTCTTCATCATTCCCATAAATTTTGGGCCAAGTTTAGCACGGCGATAAGGACTTCCAATAGAGGGGAAAGTCATTGCTGGGCAAAGTTCGAGGTCTTCACAAAACTGAAAGAAAAATATTTGGATCAGAATTTTAAATAAAAATCAGAATTATTTAGAAAAAGAAGCATTGAGAAATTAAAATCAGAATTTTAAAAAGAAAACAGAATATTTAAATTCAGAACATTTAATATGCAGTAATTCTGTTTAATAATAATTCTGATTTATTTAAACAACGCATATTTAGTATGTAATTATCAAAAATCAGAATTTATTGGATCAGAAATATTTTGATCAGAATTTTAAATAAAAATCAGAATTTAGAAAAAGGAATATTTAAATTCAGAACATTTAATATGCAGTAATTCTGTTTAATACATAATTCTGATTTTTTATTTAAACAACGCAAAAATCAGAATTAATTAAAATCAGAATTTTTTCAGAATTTCTCTCACCTTCTTCTGGTCAGAAAGTAAAGTTTTCAATTCTAAAAAGAATTCTGGTAATGTTTCATCCAAATATTGAGAACACTATAAAAATTAACAGAATTTAATTTAATTAATTAATAATAATTAATTAACTAATTCTTTATATTTTCCTGTATGTGAACAAACATTTTCTTCAAGCCAGTCGTGGACTTCTTGCTAAAAATTATTTTTAATTGTTAACAAAAAGTTTTCATTTTTATTTGCCTGAACATGCGGCTCTCCAATCAAATCAAGCAATTCATGCGCAGCAAATTGACATTCTTCACACAAAAGGGAATTCTTCACAAAATTATTTTAATAATATTTTTAAAATTAACCAAACTTTAGCATTGTCTATATCCTCCAATTGACTAGCAAAATGGACTCCAACACGGTGGAAATGTTCCAATTTGCGGTTTTTGCAAATATGCAAATCTTTGCAGACTTTATCTGCGTTTTGCTATAAATTTAAAAATATTTATTTTAATTATTTTTTGGGTTGATAATGGAAAATCAAAATATCTTCTTTCTTAATTTAAAGTCAATTTAAATTTAATTTAAATTAATGGTAATAGTTTGGAATTCCCCCCCCCTTTTTTTTCTATTTTTTCCTAGTTTTTTCTTATTTTTATGGTAAATTATATATTATTCGAAAGAGCTCTTCGAGCTGAGTCGAATGACATTAAAATTAATGAAAACTGACTTAAGTGAACAAAGTTGTAACTAGTGTTCGGCACGTTTCGGTACTCCCGGAACCGGTACCGAAAAAATCCATTTGCCGAACACTAGTTGTACCTTTTATTCCCATGAATTGGCAAAAAAAGTTTACCCAACTAGGATTTACCGTATATGCTCGAATAATTACCCTGGGTAATTATTGTTTCGACCTCTCGCTGGAGGGGGTAATTAATCGAGAGGATGTGCTAACTTTGGGGTATATCTCAATAAATCCAGGAGGAAATCGCTTTATTTTTTCATATTGATTAATAAACTGTCTCAATGATTAAAATTGACAAAGATTTTTTCAATATTTTTAAAACTTGAGATGGAAAAGGAAAGGGTAATTATTAAAGAGGGTAATTATTTGAGAGAGGGTAATTATTTGAGAGAGGGTAATTATTTGAGCATATACGGTAGCTTCATAATTTTGGTAAAGCCTATCTTGGTATCATTTGACCAAGCTCGAAGAGCTCTTTCGAATGATATATAATAAATTATGTATCAAACATAAAAGCTCAAAATGGGCAGGAAAATGGTAAAAAAAGAGGGTTCGAATTCCAAACTATTACCCCAAATTAATTAAATTTCCCCTTTCAACCCCTACCAAAAATGGAAGTAATCTGTCTATAAACAAATCAAGTTTTTTAACAAAAAGACGGCATTCCTCTCTATATTCAGTTGTTTCACACATAGCAGTAAGCAAAAGCTTCAATTCCTCTAATTTTGTTGGATCCTTTGCAACTTCGACAATTTTGTTAATTATCTTTGGATTTTTTGGATTAATTTTTTTTAATTTAATTAATTTACGATTTTGCATTCATCACAAGCATCTGTCCAATTACCAATTTTTGGTGTTTGATTTATTTTTAAAGGACCATAATAACTCAAAACAAAGTCACTTGAGAAGATAATGCTTATAATAAATAATAAATTAAGTTTCATATTTAAAGTTGCTAAAATAAGTTTAGAAAATTCAAGTTTATTTGTGTTTCTAAAAGTTGGAAAAGTTTGTGTTTCATTTTTAAATTAAAGTTTGTTTTTGTTAAGTTGGAAGTTTATTTTTGAAGGGTTATAAAGTAAGAGTTTGTTTTAAGTTTAAAGTTCAAAAGTTAATGTTTTATTTTCAAGTTTTATTTGTTTTAAATTAAAAGTTTGTTAAAAAATTTTTAATATTCGAGCTTTCTTAGTAAGTTTTGAGGAGATTCAGGCTTATTTTTAGTATTAGTGTTTCTTTAAGTTTAAGTTTTATATGCAGTTTAAAGTTTGATTAGAAGTTTTTAGTTGTGTATTATTGTACTTTATTTTGAATTTTTTCTGTAAAGTTGGGAATTTAAGTTTTATATTATTCATTTAAAAATACAAAAATAAATATTAAAAGAAAATTGTAATCAGAAAAAAAGCTAAAAAAATTTTCTCTTTTTCCACGAGTGTAGTAACAAATAAATACATATATTTTTCTAGATAAAAATAAAAATGCTAAATAAAAGACATATGTAGGTAGGTAGGTAGGTGAATATATCGAAAGGTTTTCCAATTGATGAGCACTTCCCCCCTCTCCTACTCCTTTTTTTCTTCTCACATATTGGCTAAAATGGCCTTTAATCAAAGCGGCATTGATTCTATTTTTTGTGACACTAGGAGAGAGTGCTTTAAATGTTGAGAAGAGGACATTAAATAAATGACTAATCAAAGAAATAAGTGTCCCTGCATTCTCTTCTCATTTTTTTGATAGATTGACCAAAATAATTAAATAATATTTTAATTATTATTTAGAGTGAGAGTGAGTGAAAGAGTGAAGATTTTGGGGAAAGTGAAAGTTTTTCCTCAAAAAACTTTAGAAAAAATATCAAATTACTTCATTAGCCTTTCATCATTTTAAACTCTTTTCAATCAATGAACTTGTGATTGAAGGGTAGTTTATAAGTATTAATTTAGGAGATAAGAAGAGACATTAACGAGGAAAATCATAAGAAAAAATATTAAATAAAAATTAAATTGTGTAAAGAAAATGAGATAAATTATTGAAGTAGTAATAATTTAAAGCTTTGATTTTATAGTTAAAATTAAAAATATTATCTTCTTCTCATTACAGAGGAAAGTAAATTTTAATATTCTCAATTTTGAATTTTCTTATATTAAATCTTGAAGTTATAAGGTATAAAGCTTTTGTGATTAAAATTAGAAAAAGAAGGGAGAAACAAAAAAATTGGATGTAATTTTGGACGTTAATTTGAAAAAATTCTACCTGTCAGTAACTGACTTGTGGACAACAAACACCCTGTTGTTTCTACAAGCTAAACTACATACTAGTCTGCTTTTCAATTTTATCTTTTGTAAATCTTTAACCACAACGCCTAACTAGTAAAAGCATTTTGCTGTAAGATGAATAATTTTTCATTCATTTTATTTTAACAATTAGTAAATTTTTTTATTTTTTTTTAATTCAAAACTTTTAAAAGATAAAATTACTAGGTTCCTTTTAATGGTAAAAGACATTTTGGAATATTTTGTAAACATCTTGGAATTAAATAAAAATTTAGAATTTAACATCTTGCTCCCTTTTTTATAAAATTTTAAATTTTATAGTTTATTTTGAAAATTTGTCAATTTCTCAAATTTAATAAATTCGTCGAAATTAGAGAGTTTAAAACTTTCCTCGTAAGTTCCCGCCTGTGTTGCTCACAAAAATTATCACAAAGTCACTAGAACAACCCTAATCCTTATCCTTTATCAGGGAAGGTTGATGATCTATTAGCTCTGACACGTGATTGACTCATGATTAGTAAATATGTTTACATGGAATTTGGGGATTTATGCGTGATATCGAGGGATCAAGAGTATTTGAGAAAAATAACAGTGAGTTCGAAGTGATAGAAGAATATCTAAGGACTGTGATTAAAGTGGATTTGTAGAGATATCGAGTGATTTGGAGGGTATCTGGGATATCAAGTGATTTAAAGTGACACCTCTTACTCCAGATATCGCTGGAGTAGGAGGAATTCAATCGACTTGTTAAAAACAAAAAAAAAATAAAATTGGAAGATTTAAACATTAAAATAAGGCAGGGGAAGGATTCGTACTTATTTTGGAACTGGAGTACTTACAAATCGACTTTCGTATTTGAGAAATTGAAATGTACATAGTACAGACTTACAAAGGGATTTTCTGGATAAAAAATTAAATTTAACTTAAAATTCTCAAAATTTTTAAGAGTCCTGTAAGTTTAGTTTTCACGATTAAGATTATATATTCAAAAGTTTAAAAACTTAAAGTTTTAATAAAAGATTAATTATTATTTATTAATTATTATGTACAGACTATGTATAATTGGTGTTACGACAATTACGGATACGCACGTGCGGATTCGACAATTGCGGATTAAAAATTTTTTTAATTTTAAAAATGATTGAAATGATGTTCTGTTTTTTAGTCCCGGCTGACAGTTTCCGACTTCTGACGGTTTCCGAATCATTCTTAGACTGATGTGGCACTTAAAACTTTAAAACATCTTAAACTTTTTAAAAATTTTATATCCGCAATCGTCGCATCCGCACGTGCGTATCCGCAATTGTCGTACCGCCGTATAATTATGTACAAACTATAATTCCTCTCTCTCTTTCAAAATATTTAAAAATTATAGATTTTCTTCTCCCCCCCCCTCTCTCCCCTTTAAACCAGCACTTTAATTTTTATTTTATTAAATTTTATTTAAAATGTTTAATCAATTAAATTTAAATATTTTATTTAAATAAAAATTATTATGAAATTTTTGTTGTTATTTTTATTAACGATTTCAACAATTTTAAAAGAAACCACGTCTACATTGGATTTTTTGAGGAGTAATTTTATTAAAATTTATTTAAGAATACATACATATTTTTTGGAAATACTTTTTAAAAAGTAAGTTGATTTTGGTTGCAAATAGTAACCAGAAACTATAGAAAGTTGTTGTAAGTATGCACTTACTAATGGACTTTCTGGTTAAAAATTAAATTTATTAGGCTGTTAAAAATAAATATAAACTAACAAAATCTCAAAAATAGAAGGGTTGGACAAAATAAAATTAATAAAAAACTAAGGGCTAAAAAGTAGAGAACTCTTAAAAGGAGTGAATTATTTTATAAGAAATTTGGTATATCAATTTTAGATCAGACAGGAATTTCAGTCTCCTTTTGGGTCCTATTTATTTGATAATTCTTTTAAATATTATTTTTTCTCATTTTAGAAAAAACTTGTGACGGATTTACAAAACATTTTTTAAACTCAAAACCTATGGATGTCAATATATTACCTCCAGTGCTTTTATGTTATTATACAGAATTGCTAGATAATATAGCAATTTTTAAAAATATTTCTGATTCAGAAAATGACAAATTAAGTATTAAAATTATTTTTATTTCACAATATTATTTAATTAATTCGACTATAGACTTTGATAAAAATAAAGAAGTACAAAATGGAATAATGTAAGATAATTATCGTATTTCTTAAAATAGTACTCCCGGGAGTACTATTTTTCAACCCTCCTCCAAAGGGGAGTGTTATTTGAGGGGGGAGTACTAATTCAAGAGGTAGTACTATTTCAAGAAATACGGTAATTTGATGGAAAAACTTATCCCAAAGGAAAAAAATTCTAAATTTTCATCTCTTAATTATAGTCTCGTGAGCAATTGGATTACGAAAGAGTCAAGTAGTAATTAGATTTTTAAGTTGACTCTCGTTCCCTAGGAAGGAAATTCTCCGGGGATGTGAGAGGGGTCTCCTCCAGAGCCCTCGTTCTCCTTCTCGCATTCACCGATGTACCTCGTCGTGGGAAAACGGAGACCGTTGTTGTATTATTCACATTTTACTTTAAGGATAATTCGGGATATTACAAATTAAACACTTCTGTGATAAAATTAATAATTTTATTTTTTTAATATAGTGATGATGAAATAAAAAAGTTATTTTGGGACGACCCATTTATAAGTACTTATCTTTTGTTGTGTAAACGTTATAGTAATGTTGAAAATGAAGAAGAAAATTTAAAAATAAATTTTAATGAAAATATTCAAACATTACAAATAAACGAAAATAAAAAAAGGGGGAGAAATTCACTAAAAAATAAAAATTATTTAGAAAAACTTTTGGATGCTTTAGCCAAAAATAAAATAAAAGTAAATTTAGAGGAAATCCAGGAAGCTAATTTTCAAGTATTTTTTGTTGCATTCTTTCGTACTCAGTTTGCTTTTACTTGGAATTTGCAGTAAGTAATATATGTACATACTATTTAATAATAAATATAATTTATGTGGGTGGGTGTTCAGATAATTAATTATGATATTTATCCCTAACAGGGCTGGACTCAAATAGAAAAAAGTTTAATCCCGATTCTGAGTCGTATGCTGATCCCTTATATCATTTTTAGTTCCCTCAAATTTCAGAATCCCTCACAATTTCTACTAATTTACTGATATCTTTCATTATCCCTCTTTAACTCGCCAAAAGTGGATTGAAATCACTCTTGAATATATTTTTATATTTTACATAAAGAGGGGGCAAGGGGGACATTCTAATGGAGATTTTACGGAATATAATCTTTAAAAACCTCCAGTCGCAGGCCGCAAGTTAAACCACACCTACCGTATAACCTGTATGTAATTGCCCTGACTCAAATAATTACCCCACTTCCATTAATTAACAATAATTACTAGCAAACAAATGCCCAAAATCACGTTCAACTTTCAAACCTCGTATAATTACCCTCCCTCGATTAATTACTTTCTCCAGAGGAAGGTCGAAACAATAATTACCCAGAGTAGTTATTAAAGGATATACGGTACGCAATCCGCAATTACGTCTAGCCCTGAACCCCAAGCTTTGTCAAGTTTTGCCTCAGTAATTTTCAGTTTTATATTCTTACCTCCGTCTCTCCTAAATTTTGATTCAATTTTACTTTGGGCGTTGTTAGTATCATTCGCTTTAGTTCTTTAGTTAAGTTCTTAGTTTCAACTTTACATTAAATTGAAATCAAAACACTCAAAACACTCTGCTTCAAAATGTTTTGTTTCTTCTCTTAGTTTTTGTTTATTAAATTAATAAACAAATAAAATTTTAATAATAATATTTATTTTACAATTTCAGAAAGTCTATAAAATATGTAAAAGAAATACCAAAACTCTTATATTTCAATGAAAGGTTGGCACAGCTTTTTGGACGTGCCCGACTGGAATTGCTAACTGAACTACATCCTGATTGCTTTTATAGAGTACTGTATTTTTTAAAATAGAGCCCCATAATAAAAATTAATCTCCAATAATCGTTAGTTACTGAGTTTATTGGAGACTAAAGGGTTACTTAAGAACTTGATTTAATAACAAAGGAGTAATATTATTAGATCGAACTCAAGTAGATTCGATGGTTTTGAACAGATTTACGTCTAATGACCCTTCGATGGGAAAACTATATGCGCTTCTACGAAGTACTAGTGCCGTGGATCTACGGTGTATATTCTATTTTATTCTCCCTTCTCTTACTAATTTAAACTTGTAAGCTGAAGAGTTGAATTTTTTACCAGAAATATTTTACAAGAATGGATTCGAACCTTCGACAAATCTATCTCAATTCAGAAAATACATTGAAAAATTGAGCCCCTTACTGAAAGAGAGCCCCTCTTTGGAGGATATCCTCTATTTCAAAAAATATGTTATGTTATTTTCTCTTTCATTCTAAATAAATTTATACTTATTGGCCGAGATAATCCGGATCTACCGGATATACCAAATCCCACTTTTTCGGAAAAATTTTTCGGAACAAATTTAACAAACCCAAATGATAAAGCATATTTTTCTGAGTATTTTCCACAAAACCGCTTAGAAATGTCTTTTTCCGGAACAGAGATATGATTTTTTAAAAATGGCATTTTTCGCTTAAAAATTGAATTTTTTGCAAAAATAGACGAAAAATGCCATTTTCAAAAAATCATATCTCTGGACCGGAAAAAGATATTTCTAAGCGGTTTTGTGGAAAATACTCAGAAAAATATGCTTTATCATTTGGGTTTGTTAAATTTGTTCCGAAAAATTTTTCCGAAAAAGTGGGATTTGGTATATCCGGTAGATCCAAATTATCTCGGCCAATTTTCATTTTCATGAAAAATGCAGAAACATGCAACTGAGATACGAATAGAGATTTCGATTGCTATATAGAACGTATTTTTTGAATGAAAAATTAAGAATTAAGAAAAAATTTTCTAGCGCTTCCATACTTTTTTCCACGACTGTATACTATATTATTTTTTAGGAGAATACAAGAGAAAATATTTATTTGAAACTATTTACAGAATATTTTAATAAAGATATAAATATTATAGAAAAATGGAGATTAAAAAATACTTTAAATTATTTTATTTATTTTGACTGGATGGAGAAACGAGAAAAAAATGGAGGTAAAAATTAAATTAAAATTATTACGAGGTTAGAAGGAAACTTATTAGGATGAAACCCTTAAAACAATCAGAATATTACAAAGAAATAAATTTTTAATTTTAGAAAAGGAATGGGACTTTAAATCTTTCTGGCAATATATTTCCAAGCTTTATTTATTTGGTGAACATTATTTACAAAATTATGTAGCAAATCACCTGATTGAAAAAAATCCAAACGAAATTACAGCAGATATTAAAGTATAAAAATATAAATTATAAGGCCAAACTCTCAAATTTTTTAATTAATAAAAAGTCGCTAATGACTTTTTTGTTAATGTCAGGTTAATTATTTGTAAACGGGCCCTTTCACATAATAGTTGAAGTTAAGGGGAGAGATCCGTTCTTGCCCCGCCCCCAATATATAAAGAGTAGTGTTTCACCGGAACCGAAATTTTAACCGGAACTTGAACCGGAACTTCCGGAACTCTAATAAAAAGCTATTATGTACAGAGGGATATCTCTAATTAATTATTTATTCAGAAAATCTATTTATTTACTGAAGAGTATGCCCGTTCAAATTTATATACACCAATATACCTTGAAACAGCAAAAGAATGTTGTGAATATATTGATAAATTTATTCGTTCAAAACGTTTATACGAAAAGAAAGAAATTCAAAAACAATTTTTAAATCAAATGGGGAATGTTTGGAGTACTTGTATTCATTTAAAAAATGGACAGAATTATCATATTGAAGAAAATTTAAAAGGACAAAGGGAAATTTGGATGGAAAAAATTGCTGAAATTTTTAAAAAATTGAATAAAAGAGATTTGAATAAATTCAGAAATTTAATATTAGATAAGAGTAAGTTTAAAAATTAAAAAAACATTTAAAGTCTTTTTATGGGTGTTTTAAGGTTTTGCTTGGTAGGGATTAACTGCCGGCATGCCAGGGAAAATGGAAAGCCCTAATGGAAAGCTGTACTGGTTATGGCTTCGGAGCATCTATATCTGAAGCTAGAGCCGAGCTAAGAATTGAAAAAGTCGGAACCGGCATCAACAGGGAGGTTAGATTGGTCAGATAAGATAAGCTTGGTTGGATCCCTAGAATCTATTAAAGGATAACTAACCTAATTAAGTAAGCAGGGAAAATTACTTGTTAAAACCCAAAGAATAGATTTCATAGCATTAAAATTCACAATTAACCCCAAATAAGTGTTATTTACATATTAACTAGTTTATCATCTGATTCTGGCTTTGAAAAAGATATTAATTTTGACAAGTCTTAATTGGAACAATGCCCAATATTTGTTATAATTTATTTTATTTATTTAGCTGATCAGGTAAAAGAATTGTTTGATTTAACTCCTAAAGAATTGCTTAAAAGAATTAAAACATTGGAAGATAACAAAAAGGGAGAATCATCTAAAAGTAACTTTGAAGATATTGGGAATGAATTGAATGAAAAAATTAAAGAGGAATTGGATAAGGAAATTAAGGAAATCGAAAAAGTGTATACGAAGGGGAAATTCATTAAAAATAAGGAAATAATTGAAGAATTTGAGGAAGAAGAAAAATTGAAGGAAGAAAATAATAGAAAAGTTGTGGGAAAAGAAGAAGTTGATATGATGAATAAAGGAAAGGGAAAAGTTTCAGAATCACAAGAAATAGTGGTGCTGAATGAGGAAAATAATGAGAGAAATTTGTTTATTAAGGAAGGAAGCAATAATTTTATGAAGAGGGAAAAGGAAGGAGTCGAGAAGGAAGAAAAACAGGAAATTAACGAAGAAGTGGAAGGGGAACAACAAAAAGATAAAAGAGAAGAAGAAGTGATGGAAGAAGGAAAGGGTAAAATATTGGAAGAGGTTGATGATAAAGAAGAAGAAAACGAAAAAAATTCTGAAGAAGATTTAGACAAAAGTAAGGAAGGATTGAAGGAAGGAGACGAAATAAATATTAAAAATAGAGGAAAAGGAAAAATTATTGAGGAGAAAAGTGAAAAAAGTAAAAATAATTTTATTTTTACTATAATTATTAAGTTGGGCTAGCGGCGAAAGTTTTGTGTATTACATACAAAGATATAAGGCAAAGGAACATTAATTGTTTTTTTACCTTATCTAGAGTTTATTTTCTGACTTTAACAATGTCAAAATTATTCATCTCAAAAGACCGAAACTGAAATTTAATTTCGGATCGACAATTGCGGACATAAAATTAAAAAAAATTAAGATTTTTTATAGTTTTCAGTGTCGCATCATTCTAGAAATGATTCGGAAACCGTCAGACTACGGAAACATACGAATGTTTCAATCATTTTTAAAATTCTTTAACAATTTTAAATAGTTAATTGTCATAACCGGAACTGTAGTAACACCAGACAGTCTACACAATTTAATTTAACCAAGGGGTTATTGCTAGAGGGATTTTACCCAAAAATGTCCGGGTTTTTATCTTAGTAAAAATATTTACCTAAATATAATAATTCAGAAATAAATAGAAAAATACTTCATTCTCGTTTATTAAAAAATGCATTGTTATCTAATAATGAAAAATGTAAAGAAAGAAATAAAAATAGTACTGATAAATTTAAAGAAAATGAAGAAAAGAATAATGAAGAGGGTAATAGTAATCAACAAGGAATTGATGAAGCTTCCTCTGTTTCTTCAACAATTTCTTTGACTAATGACCAAAATTTAGATTTAATTAACACAAATGTCTTGTTAAATGGTATTTTTGGATATTCGAAATTTCGTTCCCATAATTTTTCCTTCCTCAAAAGGTGTATAATGGTCAAAATTTCTTTCATCCTAATGAACTTTTTGTTAAAAAATTTAATTCAACCTTAAACATTTTGTACCTAAACTTAACATTTCTCAATCGTAACATTTTCTCGGTCTAGAAATTATCATCAATTTCTGGAATTTTTCTAAACAGTAACTGATTAAATGCCTAGAAGAAATAAAATGAAATTTAAGAGGGAATTCTGACCATTCTGGAAACAAAATTCAAAATTACTCTAATTTATAATAAATTTTAGAAATTTTTGGTGAAAATGAAAAGAGAAATTTGGACAGAAATTTTGAGATAATATTTTCTCAATATTTTGTAGAAAAAGACGAAAAACAAAAAGAAAATATTATAAAATTAATTGATGTTGTTATATTAATGAAAAACATTTTGGAAGTTTTAAATGCTTTTGAAGATAATTTAGGGGAAAATAAAATAAACTTGGAAACTTTAACAGAAACAAGTTTTAGACAAACAAGTTGCAACTTTTTTAATAAATTGAGAAAAAGTTGGTCAAGTTTTACAAAACAAGTTTTAACAAGTTTAACAACAGAAAACATTAATATTGATGTTTTGTTGGGGAAAATGTTGAATGTTTATAGGTTTTTAAGTTTTGGAATGTTTTACAACTTGGAAATTAAAAACAAGTTTGTAGAGAATTTTGAGAGAATTTTGTAAGTTTTTTGTTTAAGTTTTTATTAAAAATATTTATTTAGCCAACAACAAACAAATTTAAAAACTCCAAACAGTCAAAACATCCTAAATAAAGCTAAAAACGATTATTTAATAAAACAACTTCGTATAAAAACAATTTCTATGTTTTTAGCTAAAAATACTAACAAAATAATTTTTGAAAACAAAAATTATTTAATATTTGAAAAAGATAAATTTTTGAAATTTTTTGGAAATTTTATTGAAGAAAATGGAATTATTAATTTGGATTTTTTTGAAAAAATAAATTATTTATTTAAAGAAAAAAATGAGGAAAATGAAAATAAAATGATTAATTTTGTTGAGGAGAATGACTTTAATTTGAAAAAATTTGCAAAAAAATTGTTGAATAAAATTGAAAGACAAATGAATATAATAGATCAAGAAAAGCTAGGTAAACACAAGACAGATTTTTTAAAGACAGAAGGACATCCCTTGAAAAGTCGAATTTTATTTTAGTTAATTCGTTTAACTCATCACTAATCAAAAATTAAATTTATCTGTCCTAAATAAAGCAGGAAGGTCCCGGAGATGCCTTGAGAATAATTTTCAAAAGAAAATGCAATATACTGTATGATAAGCCAGTTATGTTTTTTCAGCCCGGTCTTTATTTGGATCAGGATATCCAGATCCACCAAATTTACTATCAAATACCTAATAAAATAAAAATATTTAAATTACTTTAGATAAAAATTTAATTCAACAAATGAAAGAAATATTTGAAGAAAATATATTTAAACACCCAAAATCAAATTTAAACATAATTGTTCCTACTAAATCATTACAAAATGAGGAGGTTGTTTTTTAAAGGAATTTTGAATAATTTTTATTTAATTTATTTTTAAGCTTCAAAATTATTTAAACTCAATTTATACGAGTAGTAATAATGAAATAAATGAAAAGAAAAAATTTGTGACAGAATGGTTAGAAAGAAAATTCAAAAGTTGGTTGGGAAATATATGCAAGGATTATTTAGGAGATAATGAAAGTAATAATAAAATTATTTTAAGGGGTCGGGTCTGTCGGTCTGTCTTTTCAGAGCCTCAAGACCAATCTTTCCAAGAATCTCGGATTCGGAACTGTCAAAATTCAGAAATTGCGAGTTTTTGGAACTGACAAATTATTTAACAAACTTTTACAATTTTTTATTTAGACTATAAAATGATAATTGGAGGCTCAACATTTCTCGAAACAGCAGGGCCAGATTCTGATTTGGACATTATTTTTATTTTTCCACAAAAATGTTTATGTCCTCCTCCAAATATTTTGGCAGATTGTGGAAAATGTCAAAAAAATGGAAATATTCGATTTTGTACAAAACATGATTTATTTTTTGGATCGAATACTCAATCATTTGCTTTTTATTTAAAAAATGAAATTTATAATGTGGAAACTGTCGAGGAATTTCAATTTAAGGTGAAAATTAGTTTGTAATAAAGATTCGACTAAGACAATGAAAATATCGGTTATCAAAGCTGGAGAGAGAATGTTTTTCAGAGCCTCTTTATTTATTTAGAGGGTGAAACTCAAAAATTAGCACCCTAAATCTTCCCTGAAACACACTCTAAATCTTCACTCTGAATCTTCCCTGTTCATAGATTTTTTGGATCCGGGGTCGGTTCCGAAAATCGGAACTTTTGACACCTTTGACAATCCTTATCAATTTTAATTTTTCAACTTAATTTCCATTTAGTTATTTTCTTAAAACAATTTTTTTAAACAAATTAAAATAATAATTAAGGGATATTTAATGTCTGATACATTTGTAAATTCAATAGAAAATGCCAGAGTTCCAATAATATCAGTTTCAATATCCGGTGTAGAAATTGATATTATGGCTGCACCTATTCCTTTTGATGATATTCCCGATAATTTTGATTTAACTAATATAGAAAATGAAAATATTATTAACAAAAATAATAAAATATTGAATGAGTTAATTGAGGCAATGATCAAACTAAATGATCAATTTTATAATAAAAGTATTTTAGTTTTGACAGGTAAATAATTTGTCCCTCCCTAATGCCGATTATTTAATGTTACCCCCGGTCTCGAGACTCGATACTTGCCCTTTTCATCAAGTCCCGACCCCGACCATATTTCCCATAACTGTTTATGTTTATTTTATAATTATTCTTTCCCAGCTTATCCTCCCTCTAAATCTATATTTTGTACACTTATTGTTCACCTCTTCCGTTCCCAACATTAATCACAATTATATTTATTCAATTGTTACTTCTCAAAGTCCATTCTCATATCTTTGCCCACACCTTTCCCAGACACATTCACTCTATCAACTTTCTTATATCCCACCCACTATTCCCTCTATTTAACCACTTAATTGTATTCTCATCTTCAGCTCAGTTCAGTTCAGTTTATTACAAATCCCAATATAAATGTCCAAATAATTAATCCTCTTCTATTATATTATCCCTTATCAAAACACTACCCATTTAATTGTATTTTAAATGGAAATAAATATTATGAACTATTCTTTTAATTATTTAATTTAGTCCTCTGCGCCTCCCCTTCCCAAATCTCCCCCACAAACATGCGGCGCTCCGAAGGTGCCTGGACCGGGAAGGTCCAGCGCATAACTTTAATAAGTTAAAACTACGGTTGTTGGCGACCGGTTATTAACCGGTACCCTCGGTTTTCGGTTATCGCCGGTTTTCGACCCCCGGTTTTCGGTTCCGGTTTTTGATTTACCCCCGGTTTTTGGTTAACCGGTACCGGTTTTTGGACAAATTTTCATCCAGAATATCCCATTGAGATTTTATCACATTCTAACGCTTTTAAATAAATATTCTATATACTAGGGGTTGAATAATTTACAGATCTCAACAATTCGAGGATTTAAAGGGTATATGGCGAGATAAATGGGCTGTTTTTGTATATTAGGAAGGTAGAGGGATTAAGTGATATCGATGATCGGTGGATTAATGCATATCAATGATCGGGGATTAGGAAGATGAGAAGTTATCAAGGGCGTTGGTTATCAATTTTGAGAATTTTGGAAGATCCTTAAGCCAGAAATCTTCCTTTTTTGCGCCGCAGGCGAAAATCTAGAGAATTATGGAAGCTAGGTGATTTCTTCCATTTTCAGCACCGCAGGCGAAAATTTTGGAGAATTTTGGAAAGTCGAGAAGCCAGGTTTCTTCTTTTTTCAGCGCCGCAGGCGAAAATTTTGAGAATTTTGGAAAACAGTAGGTAAAAATTCGCTGTTTTCAATATCTTCTCCTCATCTATTTAAAAATTTTCTTCAACTTTTTACACTTTTGATAATGTTTAAAAATAAATTTGCATATTTAAAATCAAAATTAAAAGTTTAAACTTCATTTTTGAAACAAAAAAACTGAAATAAACTTCATTCACAAAATAAGATCAAACCCTATCCTACGAACGTTATTGCCCGCCAGCATACCCACTAAACCATGCATCTCCCCAACGAAACAAAAAAAATTATTATATATATCTTGACTTTTTTAATAATTCTGATAATATTTTGCCAAAATGTATTTTAGTCATTCGAATTTCCGAAAAATTCCCAAAAATTTCCATCGTTAGGGGTGTATTTTTAAAACCGAAACCGGGCGGTTTTGGTCACCGGTTTTCGGTTATCGCCGGTTTTCGACCCCCGGTTTTCGGTTCCGGTTAATTCGCCAAAAACACCGGTTAACGGTTCCGGTTCCGGTTCGGTTAACCGTCCGCCAACAACCCTAGTTAAAACTACCAATTAAGGTTTATAAATTTTATTTGATTAAAATTATTTCTCAAAAACTTAAGTTTATAAACTTAGTTTTTACAAACTAAGTTTTTCAAACAAAGTTTCACCAAACTTGATTTACAAACTTGATTTAATTAAACTTTGTCTTTACAAACTTATTTTTCAAAAACTTAGTCTTAAATTCACAAAACTTGTTTATTATGTACATCAATCATTTAAATATTAAATTTATATTTTTATTCAGGCTTTAGAATCGCTTATCGAAACAAATCTAAATTTATCCAATCTGAAATGCAATCATTACTCTTTGTTGATTTAATGAGAGCTGTTAAATTATGGGCAAAAAGTTTTGCAAAATTTTGAAAAAAATTTTAAAAAATATTTTTAAGGAAAACAAATTTATTCTAATGTTTTTGGTTATTTAAGTGGAACTATTTTAACAATTATGGCTTCAAAAATTAATTTGTTATATAATAGTGGAGGATTGACATTTTTATTGCAACAATTCTTTAAATTTTATAGTGAATGGTTTGTTAAGCTATAATATTTTAATTTGTATTTAGAAACTTGTTTGTATTTTTGTTTTGTTTATTTGCAACTTGTTTGTATTTTTGTTTTGTTTATTTGCAACTTGTTTGTATTTTTGTTTTGTTTATTTGCAACTTGTTTGTATTTTTGTTTTGTTTATTTGCAACTTGTTTGTATTTTTGTTTTGTTTATTTGCAACTTGTTTGTATTTTTGTTTTGTTTATTTGCAACTTGTTTGTATTTTTGTTTTGTTTATTTGCAACTTGTTTGTATTTTTGTTTTGTTTATTTGCAACTTGTTTGTATTTTTGTTTTGTTTATTTGCAACTTGTTTGTATTTTTGTTTTGTTTATTTGCAACTTGTTTGTATTTTTGTTTTGTTTATTTGCAACTTGTTTGTATTTTTGTTTTGTTTATTTGCAACTTGTTTGTATTTGTTAGTTAAAGATTGTTGTAATTTTGTTCTGTTATATTTTTATTAAGTTTGCTGTTTGTAAAAACAAGTTTGTAAAAGTATTATTACAATTTTATTTTTAGGCAATGGCCACTTCCTGTTTTAATTGAGCCCTTAACTAATCAAGAATTAATAAAAACAAAATATTTAAGCAAAGAAAATAATTATTTAATTGATTCTTGGAATTTATCAAATATTAAAGAAACACCCCCTTCAGTAATGCCAATAATTTCCTCTCAATTTCCCGAACAAAATGTTGCTTTTAATGTTAATGAATTTACAAAAAATATAATTTTAAGAGAAATTAAAAAAGCTTCTGATAATTTTAAAAACGCTAAACATTTAAATAAAGAATTTTGGCAAAACAAAATATTTAAAAAAATAAATTTAAAATTAATTTACAAACATTTTATTTTGGTTATTTGCACAGAAATAAATGAAAATAATTATTTTGGAAATTTTAAATGTGGATTATTAAAAACAAAATTAAGATTAATATTTAAAGATTGGGCAGAAAAAATTAAAAAAGAAAAAATAAATTTAAAAGAATATCATTCAATTTCCGGATTTGAAAGAGAAAGGAAATGTAAACGAATAAAGTAAGTTTGTAAACTTAAAGTAGTTGTTTCTTAAAAATAAAGTTGAAGAAACTTAAGTTTGCGAAAAAAAAAACAAGTTTATTATTTAGTGAAGAATAAGTTTAGAAAAACAAAGTTTTCTCAAAAACTTAAAAACTTAAGTTTGCGAAAACAAGATTTGAGGAAATGCAAAGTTTTTGCAACACTTTGTATTTTTCAATAAAAATATCGAAAAAGTTTTTAATATAATTTTAAATTAAAGTGGTATTGATGAACATTGGACAGTTTGGTTAGTTGGAATAAATTTGGAAAATAATGGAGAAAATATTAATGAACAAAAAGAATTGTTATTAACAATTAATGAACATTTTTGGAAAAAGAATAAAGAAAATAATTGGTTAAATGCTATTTATGTTAACCAAAATAATTTAAAAAATATGTGGGTAGATTTACAAGATTATTAGACATACAAGTCCAATCAAGATTCATTAAAAAATTAAGAACATATTTCAATATCCATATAAAATTTTGATTGTACTCCCCTCTAAAATAAAATAATAAATTTTTGTTTTTAGGATTGATTCCATTTTTAATTCTATTAATTGTCCGGAGATAAATGAACTAAAAATTGGTGAGTTAATAATGTTTTTTGACCTATTATAAAACCTTTACTCCATTCAATTTGCAATTGTATTTTTGTAGACAAATAATTAAAAAAAACTAAAAAATCTTTCTTTCAAATTTAATTTTCTATTAAACTTTGTTTTTAACAAACTTGGATTTTATAAAAATTTTCTAAGAGTTTTCAACTCCTAATAGTCTTACAAATTTATTTTTTCAATTAGATTATTTTAGACAACATTTATGAACGTCAATATAACAATTTTAACAAAAACTTTTACCAACTAATTCCAAATACCCAAACAATTATTGAAAAATGTAATAAAATAATTGAATGGAAAAAAGAAATTAATGACGAAAATGAAGAGGAAAATAATTTTAAAAATGATTTAAATAATTTTATTAAAATTCCTTTAAATATTGATGATATACCTAAGGTAATTTATTTTATTTTTTCTCAAAAAAAATATTTTTAGAAGGAGAATAAATTTATAATTTATAAAAAATATGATAGTAATTCAAAAATA